GAGGCTCCTATTGTCACGAGGTTTTCATTCAGTAACACGTGTCGAGTGCTGCGCCTGCGCTCAATGGGGTTGAGGTTGGCTTTTCTGCGAAGAGGCCAAGGAAGGGAAGGAAAGGGAAGGGAAGGGGAGGGCCCAAGACGAGGACGAGGACGAGGACGAGACACGACACGGTTGTCCCTGTTGTCTGACAAAGAAGTCCTGAAGCGCATCCAATGTACCTACTCCCTCGTTACATACATATAGGTTGTGTACAGGTAGCTACCTCAAGGCGCAAGTTTTGACTACGGTGGGAAAGGCGAGACGTCACATCCTACTGGGCACGCCTGGACCCTTTTTCCCACCCACCCCCTACCCCTACACGGTACACACAGTAACTAAGGTTAGCTCCCCGCAAGCAAAAGCGGAGCCAGACACCCCGCAGTCTCACGATAAGAGCTTGCAACAGCGCCAAGTCTGAAGCTGGCGCATGCAGGAACATACCGTACTGTGGTAGCATCTATGGTGTAACTTGCCAGCTAGTTACCAGGGTACCTACCTACCTTACCTCCGCTGCCACTGCTTTGAGTTAGGGGCTTAAGTAGCTTCGGTCTGATCGGAGAGGCCCCCTGTGCTTCCGAGCTCTGCCCCCAAGAACAAAATCGTCGAAAGCCTCCACAGGGCTGTCCCCAGATGTCCGCAGCACATACCATCACAGCTGCCTCGCCCTGCCATTGAGCCACCGCCATGGCTCCTGGTGGCCCGAAACTTCCTCCGTAGCGTTCTGGCCCTTGCACCGTCTCTCTCTCCCTCTCCCTCTGCCTCTTCCCCCCCCCCCCCCCCCGTACTGCAACCATGCTGGCCCGCGCATTCTGCACCGGCGCCGGCACCCGCACCCGCCCGGGCTCGCCTGCCTCGGCCGCCCGTCGCCTCTCCTTCCTCCGGACCATGGCCTCCGCCTGCGCCTCCGCCTCCGCCTCGGCCCCCCGCCGGCCGTCCCGCGAGACCATCCCCTCGAGTCCCATCCGGATCCTCCGCACCGTCGACTCCGTCCGCAGGTGGCGCCGTCCACACATGCTGGACCACCGTCTCGTCGGCCTCGTGCCCACCATGGGCGCCCTGCACGCCGGCCATCTCAGCCTCATCCGCGCCGCCGCCCGCGAGACCCACCACGTCGTCGTCAGCATCTACGTCAACCCGGCCCAGTTCGGCGTCAAGGAGGACCTGGCCTCCTACCCCGTCACCTGGGACGGCGACTGCCGCATCCTGGCCGAGCTCGACCGCGAGCTGGCCGACGACGGCGCCAACCTGGGCCGCATCAGTGCCGTCTTCGCCCCCACCACCCGCGACATGTACCCCTCGGGCTTCCCCGGCCAGGACGTCGACTCGACCGGCAGCTTCGTCACCCTGACCCCCGTCGGCCAGGTCCTGGAGGGTGCCAGCCGCCCCACCTTCTTCCGCGGCGTCGCCACCGTCTGCATGAAGCTGTTCAACATTGTCCAGCCCGAAAAGGTCTACTTTGGCCAGAAGGACGTCCAGCAGACCGTCGTCGTCAAGAAGATGGTCAAGGACTTCATGCTCCCCGTCGACGTCGAGATCGGCCCGACCGAGCGCGAGCCCGACGGCCTGGCCCTGAGCTCGAGAAACGTCTACCTGGGCGAGAGGCGGAGGCGAGTCGCCACCCTTCTGAGTCGCGCCCTACGCGCCGCCGAGAGCCAGTACCGCGCCGGCGCCCTGGACCGTGAATCCATCCTGCGCGCCGCCACGCAGCTCACGACCGATGTCCTGGACCAGCAGATGGCCCTGTCCCCCGAGGAGAGGGTCAAGTTTGAGGTCGATTACATATCCCTCGCCGACCCGGACACCATGGAGGAGCTGGCCGAGGTCGACCCTCGGAGGGGAGGTATACTGAGTGGTGCCGTCAAGATGCTGCCGGTCGAGGCACCCCGGCCGGGGGAGGATTTGGGGCACAGTGGAGGGCCGGCTGTACGGCTGATCGACAACATTGTCCTGAAGCCCTCGGTCTGAAGCCGGTCACGGTAGACTGCATGTAGATCTCTGCTTAGAACAATACCCTTACGAATACTAGAGACTCTAGACGCATCACGCCTTCTCGGGCTGGCTATCACCACCGCATTTTATGGCTTGGCCCCCACCTCTCCCTCGGCAACCGTAGTGACCCTTGCCAGCCCCAACGTCTTCTCCGTGTTCCGGATCACCTCCTCGGCTAGCTTGTCTTCCATCTCGGCCCCGTCCAATACGGCCGCCGTCTCCTCGAGACTCATCTTGCCCGTCTCGACGAACAAGAAATACACCACGGCCAACTCGACCAACAGCCACACGTCGTACGTAATGTAGAACTTCCACCCAGAGTTGGTCACTCCGATGGGGTTAGCGTACTGGTTGAATATCAGGGCCAGCGCGACAAACAGGTTGTACAGCACCAACCCTCGGGCTCTCAGGTTGTACGGCAGGATCTCGACCACGTACGTCACCTGCAGTGGGCCCCAGCCGATGGCAAAGACAAACTGATACAGGAAGATCATGGCCACGACTCCCTTGGCTATCCCGCCTGGCCCGTCTGCTCCATCCGAGGCCAGGTCGGTCGACATCTCGTAGGTCGCCTCCAGTGCCGTCCAGACTACGTAGACGACCAGCATCCCGGCCGTCGACAGGAGGAACAGGGTGCGTCGCCGAAACCTGTTCACTACCAGCGAGAACGCCAGCCCCCAGACCATGGACCAGATCGTCAGCAACCCGTTGATCAGCGTCTGCGTGTCCTGCGACGTGTAGCCGACCGAGTTCAGGATGATGGTCAAGTAGTACGAGATCAGGCCGTTACCGCTCCACTGGCTGAAGAAGCCGACGGCCAGGATGATGAAGAACCGGCGCCGGTTCCCGGGCGTGGAGAAGAAGGCAAGATAGCTGGTCGATTTATACGCTTCCCTCTCGAGACGGAGCGCCGACCGGATTTCCTCGATCTCCAGCGGCACCACAGGATCCGACAGATCGCCGTTGGCGTGGTACTTGACGATCAACTTCTCCGCCTCCTCGTCCCTCTCCTTGCTCACCAACCATCGCGGGGACTCCTCGACCATGAAGCACAGGCCCAGCTGCAGAACACTGGACAGGGCCTGCAGCAGCGACGGGATCCGCCACGCCCACGTGCTCCCGATCCGGAAAGTCCCATACGTCGTCCACGCCGCGACCAGCGCCCCGAGGCCCCACAGGCTGTTGTAAATGCTGACGAGAGGCGCGCGCTGCGTCGGGTACGCCAGCTCCATGATCAGCAGCGGCGCCGCGGTGATGTTCAGGACGAGCCCGAGCCCGATGATGCCCCGTCCGGCAATGAACATGCCCGTGTTCTGCGCGGCGGTCTGGAGGGCGACACCCACGAGCAGTACGCAGGCGCTGCCGAGGAGAGCGGGCTTCCGGCCCCACGTGTCGCAGATCCAGGCGCAGAAGGGCATGCCGACCAGCTGGCCGACGTTCTGGATCGCGTTGAGCAGCGCCAGGTCGCTGGCACCCGGGTGGTTGAAGGACTCCTTCCAAGTGTCCAGGGACTGCAGGCCGTTCATCATGGAGCCGTCGAAACCCGTGGCGTAGGACGAGATCAGCGACAGCACCAGAATGCAGTTGAGCTTCACGATGCCGGCGTTGCGGAGCCACGATACCGGCCCGCGCTGAACGGCGGCATCCACGTTGGCCGGGATGCCACCAGCCATGTCGCCTGAGACGGAGCCGGGCATCTTGGGTGCTGGTTGCCGTATCGCAGCAGAGAGAGGGCGGACGGGATTGCACGATTGCACGATTGCACGATTGCACAGTGAAGATATGGATTGTCGCCCCATCCCTCTGCGGAGGTATCGCTAGAGGATGCAGAGACTCCTGAAGATCAGTGGGTGCGGGACATGCCGGTGCTCAATATATATATATATATAGATCTGGTGTATAGCACCACTCAGGTCGGATGCTCACCCCATGGGCACCGCGTGTTATCGACGGGGCGATCCATTCTTCTAACTTAGCAACGTTGTGTGCCAGCCTATCGGGTGCAGATGCATCTTGCTCTCTAGCGACACAACGACCAGACGACCCATGCTGCACACACCCATGAACGATGGTTGGGGAACCTTCGGCCCTGGTCACAAGGGATAGCCTAGATCGCCTATCAAGTGCCGGCAAACACCGGCGATACCGGGCATCCCGGCGACTTCGGTGGTTTTCGTGCCGCTCCAGCGAGCCTGGAGTGTGGTTCGCAGCGGCGCATTGCCCAGAAACGGCTTGAGAGCACTGACAAGCGATGTCCGGAGCCTGCCGAGGTGGATGCGGGGAAGACGGTGCCGAAGGTTGGACCGATGCCTTCCGATTCAGCTGCCCAGGGCGGAGTCTAGCCTGACGTCCGCGGAGCTGTCAATTGGCGAGTACCGGCTCTGAGCCGGGCTAGCTCAGCAGCTCCTATACGATTTCCAAGAGAAAGAGGTGCCTTGATTGATACGAACGGGCACGTGGACTTTCAATTGCGGCTGGCATGAAAATGCTTCGCAGCAACCTGCTGTTGGGGGCGAGCCTGGCAGCCTGGCTGCTGTGGCATGTGGGCTACTACTAGCCTGTCTTCCTCCCCCAAAGACCCTGGTTGTTCTTCGGGGTGGTATCCCAGCTACAAGTATCTACGCGAGAGGGCCAATGCACATCCCCCGCAATGAGGAACGATAGACGTTAAGTAGGTACCTAGGTACCTTACTGCAAGGCATTTAGCTGTTCTCCAACTTCTCCAAATCCCCAGGCCGCCCTGGACACCATCACCGCCAGTGGATCGACCGAGGGCTGACTTTTAGTTAAGTTGCTTACCTACTGATGCTGGTCAAGCGACCATTGTCGGGGAAATGGCCGATCTCTAATCCAAGAGACCGGCATGCTCTGACTTGGGGGCTATCACAACCCACAGGACTCGTAGAGCCTCTCTAGCTGGATCCAGTTAACCGCATGAGATTTTCCGTCACTCATGTCCATGGCCTCGGTGAAGGACCCTGCGCTAGTCTGGTCTATCAAGTTCATTGCGTATTCATTCCAAGGAACTGGGGTATCTTTTCACGGCGCGAGTCAAGACAATCTCGACTTCTGTCCCAACGAGCAGGCGCCTGTACGTCGATAGCCGTGGGGTCCATACCACGGCACGGCAAAAGGTCCGATGTATACCAAGCGTCTTCGGCTATCAGTCCCATACGTGCATGACGATGTCAACAAGCGGAATGTAACCTTCCCCAGAGTTCAAAATGACCAGGCTCGTCTCGCTCGTACAGGTGGCAGGATTCCGGTAGGTGTCGACTTCGCATCTTGTTCGTTTGAGCCTGGCCCGCGGGAGACTTGTGTTCATCATGATGGTGTCGTGTACAGAGCTTACATTGACCGTGGTTGGTCTTTGTAGCACATTGACGGCCGCGAAGAGTACAGGCTATCAACCCTCCCGGCTCACACCAGGTATGCATTGACGCCAATATAAGACTCGCCCTTCCAGAGTTCCACAAGTTTGCTAACACTTGCATAGCTGCTCAGAGTCTTTTCGACTACTCCATGCAAGTTCAAGACTCAAGATACGACTCCTATTATAAATATATATGGTATCAGGACAATGGGCCATGGTCGACTCGGTTTACAGCCTGGTATATCCCAGGATTGTTCGCCAGGGCCTGTGGCGACGACGTGAAGAACGGTATTGCTAGCATCGAGGCAGTGTAAGACGGTGAAGATGGCGGCTCAAGGGGGGGAACTTTGGCATTGACAACCTGATAGGCTGGCTACCCAGATGACCGAAGACTACGACTCTGCCTGGTACGGAACATATCGGCTCTCACCAGACGCGCCATATCCAAGCCCCGACAGTGACTACTACGCGCCGGAGATCTATGATACATATGATCCAAACTGGAGAGAGTTCATTGGGTTCGTGTCACAATACAACCCCCCGTCACTCTTATCCGCTAATCGATCCCAGAACAACACTAATCCAAGTTGTTGAAGAGTTCTCACATCTTCTCGACCACGATCTGATAACACGCATAGAGGACTCCCTGGAAGCTGCTGCGGTCGGTGGCATGCGCCGGAACGGATCCTACCCGGAGGGGGACAACCTCATCCTCGGCTATTCTAACCCAGCGCTCATGCGCGCGCTGACAGTCGGTTGGATCGGAGAGCGTCGGGGTAACCAGACGCTCATCGACTTTGCGTGGAAGCAAGGCGAGGACCTCCTGGCGCTGTTCGAGAGAGACGGGCAGGATGTCCTTTCGGAGTACAACGCCCCGACCTACTACGGTATGGACATGTGGGCGTTGGCGGCGAACAGGGCCTATGGTCCGAAGGATGCGCCCATGACGAAGAACGCAGCCGTGATCATCTCGGAGCTTTGGAAGGACATCGCAGCCCACTACAACCCGTTCCTTGGAAACATGGTTGGCCCCTACGACCGAGCTTACACCCGCGATGCCACCACCCACTCGGCCATCATCTCTCTGTTCTGGTGGGGTATTTTCGGGCGTGAGTATGGTCCGCAGCCACCGTTGGGGGAGGCCGATTTGCTGTATGACATTGCCCAAGGAGCGTCTTTGGCGCTGGTCATGGATACGGTCTCAGACCTCATCGACAATACATCGGTGGCTACACTGAAGGCGAAAGGCTGGTGGGAGGGCAGCCGACAGATCAACAAGACCATCTACGAGGACCTGGAGACCCAGAAGTTCCGCGTTGCATCTTCGTGGCTCAGCGCAGGGCTCATGATCGGAGCGCAGACAGTGGCCGAGACGGCCAACCGGGGAAACCAGTTTGTGCCGGCCATCGTGCACTGGGCATCGGACCCCAATCATACGCCATACCCGTACAACGGCTTCTTCTCGCTCTACCCCAGCGCCTCAACCATCACCTCCGAAGTTGGCGAGAGGACGCTCAAAGTCTCGTATCCGAACACCACCCAGGAAGGGACGGATATCTTCACGTTTGCGCTCTCCGGCATCCCACCGCAGTTCCTCGGAAGTCCTGACCAAGTAATCACCGGCTTTGACAACCTGCCCTGCCTGTCGGTCAACGTCTCGGCGCCAGGCTTAGAGGCACTGAATGTTACGTACGGAACGCAGCTACGCGATCACTGGATCTACAATATCTCGTATGCCGTACCAGAAGCCTTTGAGGGCACACCGTCGGTGTCGTTTGAGTTGGAGTACACATGTTAGTGCGTGGCTCGGCTACCGGGCGAGACCTGCAGGTGTTCGTTCTAGGTACCTAGTTACGTAGGCAGACATAGGACACTTGGCATACCGATTTTATAGCTTTGGCTGCTTACTCATCCCGTAAAGTCTAATTGAACCAACCCTTGGCTGTAAATGATGGACTTGAAGTGCCGACCCCGGGTGGAGAGGCTCATCGAACCACCCATGTTTGAGAGGATGGAAGGATTCTGAAGCCTCCCCTCCCCGACTTGGATGGAACTTGGGGGTTGTTTCCCATTCCTGCATAGCGCCATTCGTGACCCGGAGGCGCGCCCATCTCGTCATTGTGTTATCATCCAATTGACTCCCCCAGGCAAGCCCAAGCCAGCCGGGTGAAGCTTTATTCGCATCGGCAACTAACTCGCTGTCGGTATTAATACGCGGAGCAGCGGCTCCACCGAAGCGGAACCTAGGACCTCGACGCTGGACTTGGACTCGTGCCCCGCAATTCTGCCCAAATCTCGACATCCCACCCTCAACCACTCGATCCGTGGGTTTCCCCTGAATATCTTCCCGCAACCCAAACGTGTCCGGTGCTTCTTGGTTGGTTCCAGCAGCAAAGCAGTCTCGGGCCCGTCGTCTCGGCCGTTGTTCTCCACACCTCGCCGTGCTTTTGTTCCCACCACGCGGCCATCCCCCCCCCCATTCCCCTCCCTTTCCTCCCCCGCCATCCTCGCTTCGCGGGGTGCAACGGTGTACGTGTGTGTGTGATCGCCGTCTCGCCCGCTGCCCTTGTCTTAAAAGGCTCCGATGCCCGCTTCCGCCCCAACCGCCGTCTCCGCACCGGGCAAGGTGTTCCTGGCGGGCGGCTACCTAGTGCTCGACCGAGAGTACACGGCCCTGGTCTTCGGGCTCAGCGCCCGCGTCAACGTAATCGCCCAGGAGATCCAAACCAGCCAGGGCGTCCAGCTCCAGGAGATCGTCGTCGCTAGCCCTCAGTTCCTCGACAGTCAGTGGAGGTACGGCTACCACCTGACGCCAGAACAGGGTGGTATGCTCGTCACGCAATTGCATGTGTAAGTGAAGTCATTCGTCTGTTTTCTTGACCAATAGTACACCTTGGCCTACAAGATTGAGCCGCATACGACCTAGTGTTCCATACGTCAAAGGGTGGAAAACGTGTGAGGTTCCACAAGTCGACACCAAGTATGATGACGGTTTGAGCATTAGCTTTACGCATCGTCTTCGTTGGCCCAGACGACCCAGCCCTTCACCCCAAATCAGTTCGCCCCTTGTTTCCTCTTACAGCGTTTGCTCATAACAACCCTCAAGCGGCGCCAAAATAAATGCCAACCCCTTCGTTGAGACGACTCTGAGCTATGTCTTGACGTATATCGCGTCCGTGTCGCCAAACAAATCCGCACTTAGCCTAGACCCAGCACGGCTGACGGTCCTGGCCGACAACGACTACTACTCCCAGCCACACTCGATGACAGGCACCGAGAAGAACCCTACCCGGTTTGCCAAGTTCCCCACGCCGCTCAAGGATGCCAACAAGACTGGGCTGGGATCCTCGGCCGCCCTGGTCACTGCACTGACCGCAGCTCTCCTGTCTCACTACCTGCCCACGTCGGTCTTCGACGTGTCGACAGAAGAAGGCAAACGGATCCTGCACAACCTCGCCCAGGCAGCTCATTGTGCGGCACAGGGCAAGGTTGGCTCTGGTTTCGATATCGCTGCAGCTGTCTATGGTAGCTGTCGTTACCGGCGCTTCAGCCCCAGCATTCTGAAGAATCTACCCGAGCCAGGCACTGCCGGCTTCGCGCCAGCCGTGACCAAGCTCGTGGAGAGCGCGGCCTGGGATTACGAGATCAGCAAGGAAGGCGTGACCCTTCCGCCTGGCGTGGCGCTGCGCATGTGTGATGTCGACTGCGGCAGCCAGACCGTCGGCATGGTCAAGAAGGTGCTCGCCTGGCGGGAGCAGGACGTTGCAGGGTCCAAGAAGATCTGGGACACGCTGCAGGAGCGCAACGTTACCCTGGGCCGCCTGCTGGCTGAGGGGAAGACCAAAGACATCGTGCCGGCTGTCGACGCGATACGTGAGCTTATCCGCGCCATGGGAACCGAGAGTGGGGTTCCCATCGAGCCGGAGAGCCAGACTGTGCTGCTGGACGCTCTGAAGGATGTCGAGGGAGTGTACAATGGCGTCGTGCCGGGGGCTGGGGGCTTTGATGCCGTTGCATTGCTGATGCAAGACGACGCGGCCACCGAGACCAGGGTCAAAGAGTACGTGAAAGCATGGGGTAAAGATCACAACGGTGCAGTCAGGTTGCTGGACGTAAAGGGAGAGATGGAAGGAGTTAGGCGCGAGGGGTTGAAAGAGTACGGTGGCTGGTTGACTTGATACCAGTTTCTTAATTTGAGCAGGAGAAAGTTCAGGAAAATTCTATCTCACATTTGTGCAATAATTAGAGCTAGAATGCATGCCAGGTGTCTAATGACTAAATGAAATTACTCGCGATGACTTTGCGGGCCGGGCGGGCTTTTGTGATACCTTCCGTTTGCTTGGAATATAACAAAGTTTCACAGGAGTGATAATTGTAGTCAGGCCACCCACTCGAGCTCTGCACATGTATGGCTATTGCACAACCGCTTCGGGTTGGTCGGTCGCGACAGAAAATATGATCTTCAAGCTGTTGAGATAACCTTTTGGCTGACTATATACGCACAGGGAAGCAAGTGGCTGTACACGATGGGAAACAAGGCCGTGCTTGGTTAGTCACTAGTTCTAATTTCTGCAATGCATGATTACATTAAACTCATATTATAGAGAACGAGAAGAGTATGTCTTCTTCTCGTAATGTTTCCTATGCTTTGTGTTGAGTTGTTATAAACATAGGATTTTACACGGTGTGGTTAGATTATAGTATAATGGAACCGGTATCAATGCAGCCTAGGCTTTCCCTGAATATAGCGCGAACGCAAGTGCAATCTTTACCTCATTCGCACCTGATGGTAGTTTTGATCGCCTTTCCTTGGATACACTCTTCTTGGACAGAGCACGAGTACCACCCAGCAAAACATGACCTCAGTTCCCGGGATGATCCGAAGGTAGGGTGCCGATGCTCGACTGTCCTGGAGAACTTGGTCTTCCACCAAGATCTAGGTCATGGTCCGGTTCGGCCACAACTTCCTCCGGTGGCCACGACATAGCCACATCTAGCTCCCTTTGGTACACTGGTGGTTTTGGGTGGTGAGGGTCAGGCCACGTGAAACGCCTGATCCACCACCATGCACGGCGGGCGTTAACCTTGGCGAACTGCTTCTTATCCGAGTCGAAGACTTCGTGTAATTGTTCGAGGGATAGCTCTTTGGTCTCCTCCACGAGGAGATAGACCATGACCAGAGCCACAAATGTCAGGCCGCAGAATAGAGCGAGCATTCCATAGGGCTTGAGGTCGTTGTTGATTCTGCAGCAGGTCAGCGTGAGCACCGTTGGAATCACTGGGAGCATTCTTACACGGGAAAGAGGATGGATAGAAGCCCCGCAAACAGAAGATTAACCGCAATGGCAAATGCACAACCCTTTAAATAATTAGCAGCGATTTCCAATTAGATGTTTGTATTGTGGCCCACGATTTCTCGGTGCGACAGTGGAAAGCTGGACAAACATTAGCTTATGTCAGATGCAGAGCAGGCCGTGAAAACATACCTTTCGGATGCTAGCGTGAAGGGGATTGGTCCTGCAAAGTGTGAGCACGACGAGTGTAGAGGAAGAGCTTTGTAGTACCTAGTCCGGGCGAGTATGCCACAGCATGTACTTTGTGGTGTCAGCGAAACCAAGTTATGTTGGACCAGTCTGAGAAGGGGGAAAAGACAAACAATAGAGGCAAATCGCTACAAGCGCAACAGTCTTGTGGTTCCATTGTTCATTTTCCGCTGAAATCCCGTCCGTGGAGAGAACTGCGCAATCAACTGCTGCTGCTGCCATAAATATGCACATCAATGGCAGGGTGGTAATCAGCCACCTTCGTCGCCCCAGGGAGTCGATAGTCCGGATTGCTGGGAGCCCAAAGAAAAAATTCACAGCACCTATCACTTGTCAGCTGGGGACTACCGCACATGCCTCCAATACATCATACCGAATCCGAGACTCAAAGCCATAGCGTGTATGGTATCACGTTGGCTGTTGATCTCGTTCGGGTTATTGGGATTCTCTCCAGGCTTTCTATTGTCATTGAGCAGTGAGATGAAAAGCGTCCCTAACACGTGTTAGACTCCAATTCATTAGATATTCTGCATGGGATATCGGTATTACCAGAGTAAAAAGCAGAAACGTTAACTGAGTTGCCGCCCAGTCAGTAAGTGAGCCATTGGAATGGGCTGGAGAGAGGCTTACTCCCACATAATTGCTGAGCCAAAGCCACAGTTGAACTACTACTGAGAGCGTTTCGAAGCCGACGAACCGTGAAAAGCTGCCTGAACTTAGAGAGAAAGCTGGGGGGTGTTTCAGTGCCGGTCCCAACAGATCGGAGAAACATGTATTCTTCCTCTATCGACTTGTGAAGAAGATACATGTCTTTGAAGGCTAGGAGCTAGAGTAAATGTTCAACCTTTGCAATCTTGTGGGTTAAGATTTCTTCATACCTCACATTTCGAGCGTAGCCTGAGAAGCTCCCCGAAAGCCCGCTTGGGATTGGATTTCTCTTGTCGAAGGTAATATCTAGGGCTTTCTGGGCAAGACCACAAGGCGAAGAACAAAACAGCCGCAGGTACTACTGGAGCACCAAGTATCAAAGCTACCGTTTGAGTATCGTCTCTACAACGAGTGAAAATGAGGTTAAAAACGAACCCGAGCATAATCCCACAGGCCACCCTAGAGAATAATTAGAAACAGTCAACAAGCAATATGCGGGGGCGGACGGACCACAGCTGCCAAGCAAGCACGAAAGACCCACGCCAGAAGCGAATCGCTGTTTCGGACGCTAAAATAGGTGTGCTCACGGCTTTGATTCCCATCCCTAATTGTATGCGTTAGTCCGTCAAAAGGGGGGACCTGTTCCGCTGCGTACCTATTCCGTTCACAATTCTCACTCCCAGTAAGACTTGCCACCGTCCTTCTACATCGTCAGGCATCATGACAGGGATCAGGCCGGCGAGAAGTGAAGTAATGCCAACAAGAACGGCGGAACACATCATCGCTCCACGCCGGCCCAAGCGGTCATTGATGGGGATAGATAGCCAGCATCCCAACAGAGCGGCAGAGAAGAACGGCATTGAGTTCGTAGCTCCAAGCTTCCATTGCGGATCCACTTTAGAACCCTGAACATCAGACGTCGATTTGTCCTCCTCTCTTATACCCAGTCTTGCGGCGTAAAGGGAACTCCCGTTGATCGAGGATTGCACGAACCCTTGCAGAAATGCGGCGCAGACAACAGCTATGGTCACCATAAATATGCCTTTCTCGGAGTAAAGCTTGTCCTGCTCCTCCCGCAAGGCCGTTTTTTCCCTTTCAGAGAGAGAGACCCCACCAGGCATCTTTCTGCGCACAAACTCGGGATCATCGTGAGCTATGCGGTCCCATACCCAGGCATCACGAGCGAGGAAAGCGGCCCGCTCCAACTGTCGACAGTCTTCCCGGTTGAGCTCAAGGATGCTAGAAAGCTTCGCGGCATCATGTTTAAGCGCATCATCAGATAGCTTGGCTGAGAGGCTCTGTCAGCCGTTCGTTCGGCTTATTGCCAGCCACCAGGCGTCTGGCGCGTCTCGGAAGGGTCATAGAAAATGACAAGGAGTGTACACTGACATAGTGGCCTAGGTACGGTTGCATCTATTGTTTTGGCCCTTCTCTGCCGCGACCGATTATGTTTGGAGTTCTGCTGATGATGCAGCGTGTCCATCTCAGCCCCGTTCATCTCGGCTTTCGCGCTCCCTTGGATACGGAACATAGTCTCACACGTGCAGGGTTTATTTGAGAGATGTAAAAGATACTTGAGGTAGCTTCTCAGTGCCTGCCTGGAATAAGGGGGGAAATCATCGCAGACCCAAGTCTACGTAAGTTGTCGTGAGTGCTGTCGATGATGTTCGAGCAACCTGGGGAGCCTTGTGTCAGCTTTTCCTCGCCATAGCCAAGTGCTCAAGGCCGCCTTGCCAGGCGCACTGCTCGCACGAACTACCAAACTTGCATAAGCAACGAGTACTTTCCGAGACAAGAGTTCGAGAGGCATTGGCGACCAACCACTAGTCCTCTTAGCACACAGCCTGCTGCTTGTGTAACCCCGGTATGTACCTCTGTCAAGGTCTGTCACGCAAAGTAGATTACGTGGCTTTCCTAGTGCATCCTTCTCCAGCTTACCAGCGAGGGACTGCCGCGTTTTGGTCACTCGAGTTTAGTTGTCTCTGCTGTGGGCCGCCTGTATTCCCCCATGAGAGTGTCTTGCTCAGCCCATGAAGGTGGTGTCGGACAGGATTGGCGCAACAAGCGAGGCCACTGCAGCTTTGAATCAACCCCTCCTTTGTGGCGGTTTTCATCATCCATTAGGCCTCCGAGGTCTAGACTCACCGCGAGCCTCTTGGGCTGCTGCCTCGTGTCTCCCACCTGATCAGGTGTTGTGCAGACGTCCTCCTGGGTAAGCGCTGAGCCTCAGTCCGTCCAAAAGATGAGTCAACAAATGATGAGTGGGAGTATCTGCCATTTGTTGGTATCTCATCTCGAGGAATAAGTCATGGTTTCATCATGGACGGGATCAGTGCTTTAGCCAGCATTGTAAACATCGTCGACTTTGGGGCCAAGTTGGCGCAACTAATTTCGCGGCTACATGACACTCCAAGGTTTCTTCGCAGCCTGAATGATTCCGTCCAGAGTCTAAGGTCCGTCTTGCTACTGATCCAGGAAGAGTTTAGAAAACCGGATATCACATCTTCAGACCAACAGCACGCGCAAGTCATTCAGAGTATCACAGAAGAATGCAACAAGCTTATCGCAGAGCTTCGCGAACGATTGCCTGTGATAAATGTTGGCGACGACACCTTGCGCAGATTGCGGGTCGCATGGGAGGGGTTCAACGCGGATCGGGAATTCCGAGAAAAGGATACTGAAATTCGAAAGTATGCGTTCATGTTGCAGATCAGTCTCTCTGCGTTAACCTCGTATGTTGAATTGCTAATCCCTACGACATGACTTGATGTAATATATATTGACATCGTGTAGGAGAAGAGCGTCTAGGATAGAAGCTGGCCTTGGTGCATTGCAAGAGAAGATTGACCAGGTTGTCAACGCCCCACCGTATCCTGGTGAAATCGACGACGACAAGATGAGTCAAAACGTACAGGCATGGCGGAGTAGCCTGTCTCCGTACTTGACCAGCAACGATTCAGTTGGCGGAGGCCAGCAATCTGAAGAGCGCTTCATATCGGACGAGATTGACGAGGAACTTGAGAGCAAAAACCGAGAGCTATCAAGATCATTCGAGTCCAGAGGCATGTTTCTCCAGGCAGCCCGAGCTTTGGAAAGGATTATTGAGCGCCGCCGTGCCCAAGTGGACATTCAGTTTGAGGAAGAGGTTCGGGCTCTGGAAGAGAGTCGTGCAGATCTTCTTTCGAGATGTTTCACCATGGAACGTCACCAAGAAGCTCTGGACATCTTTGGATATCTCCTACGGCAAGCGACAAGCGGACCAAGATCTGATGCTTCCGATGAGCGGAAAGCACGTCTTCAATTGAAGATGGCCTTTCTGTATCAAAATGAAGATGGACTTGGGAAAAGGCACAATCCAGATGAGGCCAGGAAACTCTTGACGCAGGCCGTCGACGTTTTTTACAACGTAAGCCCGCTTCCTAAGGAGGCTCTCCTAAGAGCAGGAACAGCTTTGATTGATATGCTGCGAGCGAGGGAGGAACACGACATTGCAGAGTCGTACCAGAGACGTATCCTTGGGAAAGTCCGTTTGTTCCACTCAGACATTGCCTACGAGGTCAATTGGGACAACTATCGAAACGTCAGCAACGAAAGTGTCCTAGGCTGGTGCGCAAGTCAAGGGTTCGATGCTTTTAGTCGTCATTTTCGATTCGACATTGTGCAATCTAGAGCTGTGATGGGTGAAGAACCAAGAAACAGTAGCACCTCCCCCCTTCACCTTGCGGTGCAACAAAAGAAAGAAGATATGGTTCAGGCAATGCTGGTTGAAGTGGAAAATGTGGATGTATTGGATAACGACTATATGTCGCCACTGATGCTGGCTGCGCGTTCAAGAAGGAGTGATATTGCGAACATTTTGCTGGAGTATGAAGCATCTACTGCGATGAAGCGAGACGGCCAAACAGTGCTTCATTTTTGCCAAGAAGGGGACCGACATAACGGCAGAGGAGTTGCGGTGCTGTTTCTTGACCATGATCAGAGCCTGACAAACCAGCAAAATAAGCAGGGGAGGACAGCACTTCACTTGGCTAGTGCCAAGGGCCACAAGAGGATGACCGAGCTTCTACTCTCCCGAAATGCAGCCCTTAATATCCAGGATGAGTATGGCAAAACTGCTCTTCAACTTGCAGTAGAAAATGCCGTCCTGCGCAGCCCCAGACATGGCTCAACGGCAAGCAGACCCTCGGTAAGCAGTGGGACGACAACATCCAGCGGACCAAGACCAGGCGTGATCGAGTCTTTACTGTCGAGTGGAGCAGATGTTACAATATCCGACAACGTTGAGAACACGCCATTGCACACTGCCTGTACTAGGGGTAATGTGGAGGCTGTCAGAATGATACTCTCTCATGCGAGGATGTCGCGTACCGATAGTTCTGTGAACAAAGCTGGACCACGCGGTCAAACGCCGGTTATTGCAGCCACCTTGAATGGGTATAGGGACATAGTCAGGGACCTGATCGATGGTGGAGCCAATCCAGAACACCAAGATGATACAGGTCGGTCCGCTAGAGACTATGCGAAGCGGGAAGGCGTCCATAGACACGAGATGATGGTTGCGCTCCAGGGGACACCGACGAGAGAGCTGCGAAGACTCAGTCACAATTAAGAGCTGGGGAAGTATGCGATGGATGAGGTTCATGCGCACCGAATCCTCGCGCGTTGCCCACCTTGAGAAATCGACGATCCTCATCCAGGAATACTAGGTCTCATTGTATGGGTGCTCGGCTGGGGAGGAGATGCAGACCCGACATCAGCCAAACGACCAGGTCGTCCGACAGCACGATAAACTACTATATGGCCGAATTCTACTTTCTGAAGCCATGGAACCGCCTAGGCTGACGGATCTTGACAATTCACGAAGTGACAGTCAAGTCTGAAGCATAACGGCGATAGTGCACATCCGGTGCCATTTCCCCTTGTGGACTAGACTAGCGTACTTCAACTCGAGATGTGTCAAATGCGGATGTCGTCATACGAGCCTATCATCTCAGGTCATAATCGACGGTGGCCGACCAAGTTGAGGGCTTGTGAACAATGGCACCACTGCGTGACGGCAATCATGGGGCTATTTGAATGGTGTGTCGGACCCTGAGACCCATGGGCGCTCTTGGCAATCGCTAACAGTGGGTAAAAGGTCATTCCTGCAAACATGGCAGTATCAATTTACGGACTTGTCCTATCCCCGGACCGATTGCACGGGCAAGACTGCCGTCGTGACTGGGGCCACAGGAGGCCTTGGTCTCGAAGCCGGGAGGCACTTTGCGCGCTTGAAGGCAGCCAAGGTCATCCTCGGCTGCAGGAATACTGAGCGTGGCGAGGCGGCTAAGCGGGCCATTGAGGACTCAATCAAGGACCTGGGCCCCGACGTCGTTGAAGTCTGGCCTGTCGACCTTGGATCTTTTGAGAGTGTCAAGGAGTTCTGCGACAGGGCCAATAGCCTCGACCGCCTGGACTACATGATCCAGAATGCCGGGCTTGCAGCCGCCAAGTACAAGTCGTTGGAGGGCTACGAGGAGACAATCACCGTCAACGTGCTGTCGACGTTTTTAACTACACTCCTCCTCCTCCCTGTACTGAGGAAGACCGTATCCGCGTTCAATACCATGCCTCATGTGACAATCGTGGCAAGCGATGCCCACTACTTTACCTCCTTCCCTCAGCGTAAGGAACCAATCATGTTCCAAGCATTGAAGGGCGACAATGACATGGCAAATCGGTATTACATCTCCAAACTACTGGTTGTACTAATAGCACGTGAGTAATCTACACTATGTTTGCAGAATGGTATAATATCTCTGACCATGCGTTCCGTCACAGGCGAGATGGCCAACGCTTTGGATACGTCTCCCAAATGCAAAATTGTGCTAAACACCGTCAACCCAGGGTTCTGCGATACGGACCTCTGGAGAAATGCCCCATGGCCACTGCTGCCGATTCTAAAATTTATGGCTCGACACGTTGGCCGGACCCCTGAGATGGGTTCACGGACTCTCATGTGGGCTGTGTTTGCGGGCGACGAGACTCACGGGGCTTATTCTGGCGACTGCATGCTTCATGATATGAGCGCCTTGGCTCGCAGCGAGGATGGGCACGCCACTGGGCGAAGAGCTTATGGTGAGCTGCTGAATATATTGGAAATTGTGGTTCCGGGCATTTCCGGGAACATCTAGTTGTCATCTTCGCAGTCGAGAGATCCCTTGCTTAATTATTTAATATTAAAGGTATATTATCTGAGGCGTACAATTTCAGTCTACCTCTGCATACATGTAGTCTTATGTCGTCATCGTTGTTACCATCATCATTTTTATTCTAACGTCAATGGGGTCCAAGGTGGTGTGACTTGCCTCTCATCCAATCGTCCAGATTACCACGAACGTCATCAGTATAGGAGGGATTGGGGGGGACTCTCTTTTTCTCTACTGTTATGCCTATCTATCATGACGGAAATCAATGTACGAGTGAAGGCAACAGCGTGGTAGCGAATACAGAATACAGGAAGATCGCACGATCGCCTATTTTAAAGCGTCCAAATCCCCCTCTCCCGCTCCGGCGTCTTTGGAGTCGAACTTGTTATCCTTCAGCTCCCGGACGACATCTCCCAGCCTCTCGATCGCCTCCACGAGATCGTCTTCGGGTTCCCACGCGAAGCAAAGTCGAATGTCTGTGTCAAACTTGATGCTCTCATCGCCTTGCACCTCAAACTGTGCGCCGTACCCGATAGCCAGATTCACCGCTCGGCACCTGTCGGCAATGATCTTTGCTGGCGGCCCACCCGGGAAACTCATCCACACGAAGTAACCCCCAAAAACATTTTCCTTCTCCTTGTCCCCTCCCTGCTGCACCAGACTGCTCACCCTGACGTGCGCGCCGAGGGGAACCAACACCTTCTGTACGGCCTCCATCAGTCGCGCATGCCGCCTCTGGTACGCCGGCTTCAGAGCCTCCTCGATATGCCGGTCCAGGGCTCCACTGTGCAACAGCTGGTACAGCATCGAGGCGCTGAATTGGCTGGGCGCGCTACCGGAGCGCGAGGATCCCGTCTGCGAGACCCCGAGGGCAAAGTCAGGGGTGGCATCCACCCAGCCGGTGCGCATGCCGGGAGCGACCAGCTTACTGAAGCTGCCGTTGCTAATGGCGTGGCCGAAGTGCTGGCCGGGCGCGTCGTGCGGACTGGGGCCGAGCGGAAGGTCGATGTCAACAAGACGAGGGAGCAGCGCCCTGCTGAGGGATGACGGATGAGGCGCTTCGACGGACGAGGACGCGATGGGCCACTGTAGCATGTCGTAGACATCGTCGGCGATGACGAGCGCGTCCCACTTCCTGGCGAGCTGCACCAAGGCTTGTCTCCTCCGCAGGCTCATGGTCTTGCCTGATGGGTTCGAGAAAGACGGCACGCAGTATATCACGTGTCGGTAAATCTTCCTATAGGGCTTCGGGTCCTTGTACAGCGGCTGGTTTCCTACACGGCTATCGCCTCGCACCTCCTCGAGTTTCTCAATCTCCCGTTCCAGGTACTCGAGGTTGATACCCTCGGCGTCCTCCGGCACGGCTCTCAACCGACCGTCGAATCCGGCATCTCGGAAGATGGGACATGCGAGGAAATAGCAGGGCGCCACCATCCATATGGCCCGGGTGTAACTGGGGTCTGTGAAGCTCTGCAGAATACCAGCGATGCTCTGGCTGGCACCGCCGGTGATGGCGATCCTGTCGGCTACCTCGTCTGTTCCGTAGAAGCGCGAGAACCACGATGCGAGCTCCTCCCGCAGCGGCTGGTATCCAGGGTCTGGACCATACTGCAGGGCGGGCGTGTAGATGCTGGGGTCTGACAGTACGGCAGCGCTAGCCTGCTGCAGGGCGGCTGTGGGCAACAGGGAGGGTGCGGGCCAACCGCGAAGCAAGTTGATAGGTTTGTGGGAGGAACTAGATGCGTCCAAATGGGACGCATTGATGGGAGGTCTCTTGCTGGTTGTCGTAGCCGAAGCCATGGTTTGGTGGAGGTGCTGCTGAGCCAACAGCTGCAGTGTGGCGTTTGGTTGTCGAATGGGAGCCAAGATCCTCAAGATACCCTGCACACTGGATGGAAAGCTTCGGGACATCCGCACACGGGCCGTGGTCCTTATTGTAGTCACCTACCCATAGAAGCCCCAAGGCCTGGAAGGTATGTTATAAGTAAGTAGCTGGGAAATGTGAAGGCCGCCGATGGCGGCGGCATTGGTGGTGGTGGACAAGATAGAGGCTTTACAGCTTGTCGATAAGCTCCGGCGCCGGTGCGGAGTCCCATTGTGGCGTTCCGCGTCCGGTGGCATCGTATGCACGCAGGTCCAAGCGAGAATGAACGAGAGAGGGCGAGGAGAAAATGACACACAGACTTGTTATCTTGTCATGGGAAACATGTAGGATGGCCTTGCCAGGTGGGTATCTCATTCTTGCCATTAAATAAAAAAAAAAGCCGATAGGAAAAAAAAGCCGATAGGGAAAAAACAACCAAAAAGCCTAACCTCATCCTATAGACCCACCAAACGCCGGCCAATGCTCCGTAATGCGCAGTGATGCCACCGCCGTCCCCTACCAACCCCAGGTTCGGGACGAGGCCGTGAACACCGGGGGCTTCCACTGAATGCGGTCCGGGTCGATATACCTCTTCTGCTTCAATTTGGCCTTCTCCCTCTGATTGATCATCTTCTGTGGAATGACCAGCTTGTGTTCACCCTTGTGGTACACCTGCATCTTGAGCGCCTGCAGAGTGTGCTCGACATCCTGCGGGGTCATGGCCAGCGACGTCGATATCGACTCGATGCTGACCCTATCATCGCGCTCGTTGTTGTCCAAGAGGAGATCTAGAATGTTCTCGGACCAATACTGGCGGTAACTGAGCAGACCAAGATCCGAGAGCGGCTTCTCTGGGGAGCCCAGCTTGCCCTCGACCTTGGACAACTCGTACGAGAACTGGATGAGCAGCCGGCCAAAGCCCTTTCTCTGGTACTGGGGCAAGGTCAAGATACAGGCGACGTTGTAGCCGTCGGCGCTCTCCTTCTCCTTGGAGAAGTAGCCGACAAGATGCTGGCCCTTCTCGGTCTTCTGGGTCATGACGTAGAAGAGGAAGGGGTCCACGTCGTAGTACAGGGTCTTGTGGTCCAGGAACATCTTGGACAGCAGACACAGGTTCCGACACCACGTGCGCTGCCTCCGGCCGTCGATCTCAAAGAAGGAGACGTAGTCGTCGCGGTAGATCTCGTTGCCGGGGGGGTGCTGCAGGGTGCACTTGGCCCTGTGGCGGTGGAACGACTTCTCATCACCATAGTAGAGGAGACAGAACTCGCAGATGTATATGACGTCCTCCTGGGTGAAGGCTTCCGGGTAGGGCGAGAAGTACCAGGGGAAGAGGTCGAACTTGCCGAACTGGACCTTGGAGATATTTCGTATGCGGGCGAGCTCGGTCGGGTTCTGGGTCATGGAGCCGCCGGTGCGGAGCTTCTCGATCTCGGCCTCCCTGCTGAAGCCGTCGTCCTCCTTCTTGACCTCGGGGGTGGCGTCGTCGTCGTCGACGTCCATGTCGTCGAGGGCGGCGGCGGGGGTCTCGCCGGCCTTGAGCTCGAGCTCGCGCGGCGTCGAGGGTGCCTTGGAGGTGGACTGGGACTCGACGAAGTCGGTCCAGGGGTGCGGCGTGAGGGCCTCGGAGGTGACGCTCTGTTCGCGCTTGGAGGGGCGCTTCTGGGCCTTCTTGGACACGGCGCTCTTCTTGGGCCCGGCCCCCGTCGCCGTGGAGGCCTTCTTGTTCTTGCCGTCCTTGGCCTTGTCCTTGTCGGGATTGGGCCACTCGACATCCTGCTCGAAGTCGATGCGGCGGACGGGGACCCACTCGTCGAGCCGCTTGTTGAAGTTGTCAAAGTTGCAGTAGAACTGGCGGCCGCTCTTGGTGTCCTTGACGCTGAGGATCTCGGCGCGGCGGGCCTGGCCCTCCTTCTCGACCATGGCGATGCAGCCGGCGCGCAGGGTGTCGGGCGTGGCCCTGCTCTTCTGTCGCGGCCCATCGGACGACCCGACCGTGGCCTCGCCGTTGGGAGTCATGATGGAATCGCGATGGGGCGTGGCAGGTTGTCGATGAACTTGCGAGAGGCGGCCCGCGATGCAGGCTTGCAGACGGGGCGGGCAGGGAGCCAGGCGCAACGGACAGTGGAAATAAATCCGCGTCTTGGTCGTGGAGGGGCAAAGCTGCGGAAGGGCTTTCGATCTAGAACCAAGGTACCCACCCACGCGCCCGCCCGACCTGTCGCTGTAACTTGGACCAATCGGAAGCGGTGGCGGACAGTGCTGCGGACAGTGCCGCGAACTGTCTGTTCCCCGCCGACGCGGGACTCGCATCAAAGCAAGAAAAGAGTCGACATGATCTGTCGGGCTTCCCCCGGGTTTATCTGCGCCATTGAGTGCTCCGACTATGTAACACATACCCAGGTCTACTGCGCAGGTAAGCTGTATCTGGCTGTTGAGCCAACTAGTCGACCCCCAGTGTACAGAACAACACGATCAGCCCCGGTTTTCGGCCATAAAGTCAAGTGACTGCGCTCATCTCATCCATGACTGATTTGACGCTTGTCCACGTCGCAACGATGCGCCAGCGCCAGAATCTGTGCAACCAACATATCCAGAACTCCTAAATACCGCCTGGCCCAATGCCTGCTCCTACTCCTGCTCCTGCTCCTGCTCCTGCTCGGGCTCTACTTGCACTCGTCTCGTGACGAGGGGTACGCGTGGATCTGAGACTGGTTAGAACCGCCCCCCCAGACAAAACTCAGGCGCGGCATGAAGGTAGATTACTGACCTGCTCCGCGAATGATACCCATTCCTCTATGCTCCTCACATACGGGTCCGCGCTCGAGTCGGCTGTCGACTCATGGCCCCATATGACAAACTCGTCGAATTGTGCTTTGCCATTCAGCCGCGCTACTTCGATGGCCTCCGGCAGCTCCTCGACGTCTGCGTCCCGGTCCATCCCGTCCTCACCGGGGATCTCACGTTTCTTGTCCCCCTTTTCGGCGACTGAGCCGTAGTAGCCTTCTGGCAGCGTCACGGCCTTGCCGCGGAGCTTCCTCCCCCTCAGATACGCGACCTTGGATCCATCTGCATGTATATCTTAGCCATGAGGCAGGCCCCCCGCGGGATGCATGGATGCCTACCTGAGTTCTCGGCCGGGCTCCAGTACGGAGCCGCCGAATCGACGTCGCCGTCATGGTGTATCCGGCAGGGCAGCAGGTGCACTCGAGCATCCTTGGCTTTTGCTTCGTGCGAGGCGATGGTGAGCATGTGTTGCGACATTCTGGAGAAGCTGGCTGTTCTGGCAAGGAGGCGAATAACAAGTGTACAGATTACTGGTGGACAGGGTTGGAGGGGGGTCGCGCCGTGAGACGCGTCGGAGAGTCGCGCGACCAGATGAGGCGCGTTAATTGGCAAGGCTGATAAGCGTATCGGCAATTGGCTCTGCCACATGTGGTACACACACACACACACACACACACTCCAAGAACCCCCCACCCCGCCTCCCCCAAACAAGTCGAGCAACCTGCTGACCTATATACGGTAGCCCGTAGGTAAGAAGTGACTTGACTGTTAGTATAGATCTATCCGCGTATGGTCTCTTGGTACACGACTTGTGCTCCAGCATCGCAAGGGTCTTGATCGTCGTATTTCCGATCCATAGTGCTCTTCAGCAGTACGTCCGAGCGGCAGTCGGCGTAGTGCCCTGTCTCTCGTCCTTGCTCTTTTCTTCTTTTCTTTGGCCCCCTTCCCCCTCCCAACGATCGATTGAAGCTAGGACGTGGGAGTTGATCTATGTGGGCCACTGCGGTCCTCGGACTTCGAGATGTGCCGGCACCTATGTACTCGTACGCATCGTACATATTGGATACGGCGAAGAGGCCAACAGAGTGTTGACGTCATTGATTATGGCTTAACAAGCCCGCTCTTTCTACCATTCCCTCGCGCCCATGAGGACGACGCAAGTTGTTATTGAATGGCGGTGTGTCACACGAGCTACATTCGGTCGTGACCTGGGCTGAATTGTGACGGAGTCCGGGTTCTGTGCTGCGTTTCTGCAACTTGCCCTGGTTGCTAGCCACCCGTCCATTGAGGCACGAGCGACCCTAGTTTGCTCTCCCAACCCCATCCCAAGGGTCTGCAGGATACATAGTAGTACCTAGTCGTCCGTCGGCAGCATCGGAGACTCCCCCGTCTGGTCAGCTATCACCGTCGTCCTACGGCACCTCCATTGGTTACAGAGGAGTGTCGTGGGCATTTCCACAAACGACGGGCAGAATGTACGAAGTGTGCAGGAAACCCTTGCGTCCCACTTACTCTCACGCAAGCGACTTCTATGACGGCGCGAGTCCCGACTCTCATTCGGCAGAAGGCATCAGTTCGAGACAAGCAAAATAGCGGCCCCTGCCACTTCCGTTCCTCAACATCCCTGTAGAAACACAATCGTGCTCCACCAAAAGGTACCAGACAAGCTCCCACGGATCCCGCACTTTCATGTGTTCCTCGATGCTGGTGACATGCGACAAATCGAGTCCAGTGCGCAAAAGGTGATCCAAGCATGATCTGCGATTCCGACACGCGGGGCTAACACCTCGGGAAGCTGTGCTCACGTCCGTTTAAGAGTTTTAGCCCGTCCGTTACTTGCCGTGACCTGACGTGTCAGCCCTTTCAATCATGAGTGGTGATTGCATTATATGAGCCTGCTTAGTATAACTGTCCTCGGCGCCGCCTCTCCTGCTCCCAAGGCCCGACTGATACCGTCGGCGACTTTGATTGACATTTACGAAATCCTTGCCTCGACCCGTTCAAGAACTCCCATGCCACTCTGTCGGGCGGCTGATTATACTTTTGCGCTGACATTGTTGAATCGATCACGGGCCGCTTGATACACGGACAGCGACCAGTTCCCCTAGGTTGTTGGACAGGCCTTTCCGACCCTTTGTATTGAAGATTGATTGCAACACTGCGTGGTGTCCCGTTCGCGCGTACAACAACAACAACAACAACAACAACATGGCACCGTCGCTTCCGTCTTTTGTCGTGCGGCCGTTCACGCGCGGTGCCGACTTGGCCCGTGGAACATTGGGCGGCCTAACGTGGGGCCCGGCTTTGGCAGTGGCCAAGCCCGCCATTCTTTCGGTATTCTCCAAGATCGAGGTTGGGACATTGCTATTAGTAGACGAGCCTGCCAACACCCGGCTTGTTTACGGACAGAAGCTTGGATCCAAGGGAGCGGAGCTTACCAATGGAGATCATGCCATCAGAAAAGCGGATGCTATACCCCGGGTCGAGGTGGTCGTGAAAGACGAGGCCTTCTGGATGCGCCTATTCCTCTTTGCGGATATGGGGTTTGCCGAGTCTTATATGTTGGGCGAGTTTGATTGCGCAGACTTGACGGCTTTCTTCCAGGTGAGTGAGCCCGCTTGATTGATTGCTTGATCGGTTGATTGGTCTGTAGACCAATTGATGCAACCTGGCAATCTCCTGACGTGCTGTGCAGTTGTTTATCCTCAACCGGGACCAGATGGGCAACGGCACAACGTGGTTCTCATCGATATCCGGAGCCATCACGAGCATTGCGCGGAACACCAATACGCTTTCCAACGCTCTGCTCAATATCTCGGCACACTATGATATCAGCAATGACATGTTTGCCGCCTTCCTGTCGGACGACATGACGTACTCATGTCCGGTATGGAAAACGCGGCGAGAGGACCGTCTGGGCGAGGAAACTCTGGAGCAGGCGCAAATGACAAAGCTACAGCGGTTCATCGACGGTGCAAAGATCAAGGAGTCGGACCATGTGCTGGAGATTGGGACTGGATGGGGTTCCTTTGCGATCAGTGCGGTGCGTCAGACGGGCTGCCGCGTGACCAGCCTGACCCTGTCAAAAGAGCAGAAGCAACTGGCCGAAGACCGCATACGAGAGGCCGGGTTCTCGAGCAGGATCGAGGTGAAGCTGATGGACTATCGAAACCTGGCAGTCCCGGACAGACCATTTGACAAGATTGTGTCGATCGAGATGCTGGAGGCGGTGGGCAAAGAGTACCTGGCGACCTACTTCTCGCACATGCACCGGTTGCTGAAGAAGAAGGGCGGCATCGCCATGTTTCAGTGCATCACCATGCCAGAGGGCCGATACGAGGCCTACTCGAAGAGTGAAGAGTAAGTATGCTGGGACGGCGGGCTACGCTTGGTTGCGCTCGGCTGACCAAAGGTGCCCACCCAGTTTCATCAACAAGCACATCTTCCCAGGAGGACACCTGCCGTGCACAACGCAGCTGTTGAACCACATCAGCACCGAGTCCAAGGGGACACTGGTCATTGAGAAGGTCGAGAACATTGGTGGGCACTACGCCAAGACGCTGCGGCTGTGGAAGGAGAAGTTTCTCGACAACTTCGAGTCCAAAGTTGGCCCAGCTCTGAGACGTGAGCATCCGAGCATGTCAGAACGCGAGGTGGAAGTCTTCCGGAGAAAGTGGGAGGTAAGCAACGCAACCCGTAACGTTGGCCCCCGGCTCAGGCAACGAAGCCAAGCCCCAGCCGCGGAGGTGCGGAGACGGAAGGCTGACATCACTGGCAACATGACAGTACTATTTCACGTATTGCGAGGCAGGCTTTGTCACCAAGACGCTGGGGGACGTGATCATCACGGTGGGACGCGAAGGGGCTTTGGAGCTGATGGAGGATGTTCCGGTGTAAGACTGCAACCTGGAAGCAGGGCAGGATTTTGACTTGGTACAACTCACCTTTGGGGCGGTGTTTATGGCGGTGTCGGCTGCCTTGGTTGCATAGCACGGCGTGTCGATCATATTGATACCAGGAGATTCATTGGTTTGCGCGGTCGCGTATATATAACTATAGTTTACATACCTAGATCTCAACAGTATCCAACTCCCCACTGCCGCCGACCGACGATCGGAAACTGTCCAGTGTATGTTGCCTACCTTGAAGCATGACCTGCCTGCCCTGACTCCAGTGGTCACTCACCGCCCATGGGTAGGCAGGCAAGTAGCATCTGCTGATTTTACGACATCCCATGTCGAAACAGGTCGACCAAGCTACAGCCCACCTGGGCATGCAGTATGTACAACAGTCAAGAGAGATGAAGCGACAGCTCTGGCTGCCGGGACCCCCACCATGAACCCAATGCGGGACCTCGGACCCGGACCCCTAAGTTACCAGTTACCCAACTTGGGTCGGGTAGGCGTGGGACAGCTCTGGCCCACCCCTGACCCGCCCCTTGGCACCCGTGGACCCCTTCCACCGTCCTTGCGTACAAGCCACAAGCCCGTCCCCTGCGGCAACCTGGAACCTGCCCCTCACCCACCGAAACGGCGACCCCTCATTGCCTCGAGGTCGATTGCATCTCTCTGAAATGCCAATGCCGTGACAACTGACAAGGAGGCACGAACCACGGGAAATCTAACTCGTACATGTGTGTATATGTATAGCTGCTGGGCTGGAGACCCAAGGCAACCCACCTACCCAGCAGTGGATAGGTACTCGAGTACGTAGGCGTGCATAGTTAGTAGCTGCATTGAAAGCTGGCCGTAGGGGCCGACCCCCTAATTACTGACCGCCTCTCTCCCTCTCTCACACACTCTCTCTTCTCGCTTCTTCCCCGTCGTGGGTATCTATCCTGCCGTTCTTCCTTGCTGGCACCAGTCGAGTTGACGAGATCGACTTAGCGGCATCCATGGCTGCGTCCTGACTCCATAATTAGTCCTGCTGGAGTGAAAGGGGGCGGGAGGGGGAGAGTCGGGACTCGGGGACAGTGGATATTGGACAGTGGACGGCCTGCCATTGCCTGTAGCTAGTTAGTGGTCCACACGTGATACTTGACTTGCTCTCATGCCACCGTCCAGTAGCTTGCCTTGCGGATCTGCGTTATATCCTCCCGCTCGCCTCTTGCCCGCCCTTTTCTACATCCGTAACTCGTAGATACATACCTCTCGCTCGCTCGCTCGCTCGCTCTCTTCTTCCCAACACTTCCCCGTGCAGCATCGCCAGCCCACCACTTCGCCAACCCGCCCAAGACCAACAGCAACACACACCATCCCACAATGTCGGCTCTCGTCATCCCCCCCGGCGGCACCATCCTCGACACCTTCAAGGAGTCCTTCGTCAACGTGCCCGTCAACAAGGACAACGACAACGCCGTATCCACCACCCAGTTCCTCAACGCCGCCGAGTCCCTGACCACCATCTTCGACGCCCTCGGCTCCGTCGCCTTCTCCCCCGTCAAGTCCGACCTGAACGGCAACATCAAGAAGCTGCGCGAGCGCCAGCTGGCCGCCCCCGCCGAGTCCGAGACCGTCCAGAGCCTGGTGCTCAACGAGCTCAAGACCAAGAAGCACGTCGCCACCGAGGGCCTGGTGTGGCTGGTCCGGTAAGATCCCTACCATCATGAACAAACACCATCGGCGTGGGCGAGTGAGCGAGTGAGGCGACGGGAGAGGGGGAGAGGGGGAGAGGCAATGGCCCGTGGAACACCCCAGCTGACAACCTCATCTTGTAATCCCGCAGCGGCCTCGACTTCACCTGTATTGCGCTGTCCCAGAACGTCGCCAAGGAGACCGAGGAGCTGGCCGACTCGTTCCGCAATGCCTACGGCTCGACCCTCAAGCCCCACCACAGCTTCCTCGTCAAGCCCGTCTTCAGCGCCGCCATGAGCGCCTGCCCCTACCGCAAGGACTTCTACCTCAAGCTGGGCAGCGACCCCGAGAAGGTCAAGACCGAGCTCCGCCCCTACCTCAAGGCCCTGGAAGACATTGTCGCCATCCTCAAGGGTTTCTTGGACCGCAAGGAGGCCAAGTGGTAAAGAGACAAGAAGGACGCCTACGAGATGGACGGGGTTGGAGGGGGCGAGGCCTCGGCCACTTGCATATATAGACATACCCAGGTGTACACGGACATCACCTGTTCGGTACTGTACCAGGCGCCCGGAACGCAAATGGTTGGGATGAAAAACAAAGACCCAACTCTGGCACGGGCACTACAAACAACCTGACAAGAGCAACTGCAGGGGAGAAATAGGCGATGATAAAAAACACGTTGGAGCCGAATAGCAAGTTATCCTCGAAATCAAAAGTCTTCTATTGCCAACCTGACCTGGTGTGGCCCGCTTGAATAATTATTAGGCTATTATGTATAGTGCTGCGTTAGCTAGGGTATGTCATGTCGTGTCATGTCGTGTCGTGTCGCTCTTCTATCTATATGTGCAATTTCTGTTCGTCGGGAAAGGAGCGACCAATCCAGATATGTCCCAAAACGCCTTGTCCATTAGCACGCATGCCGTTCTTCTTCTCCCATCTTGTCATTTTCTTTGTTTTTGACTTTCTTTTCCGTCTTCTTCCTTTCTCCCCCGGCTCAGGAGATGCGTCTCGCCTTGACTCGGGCGCCGCCATGCTTCTCCCAGTAGTCTTCCAGCTTCTGCTCAACCTCGACGACGTTGCTGTAGGGCGTCAGCTGCGCCATGCCCTGGACCTTGGCCGTGATGGCCGCGGGCGTGAAGTCGGCGGCCACAGCGTCCTTGGCCCGCCACCGCGTCTCCATGGGGTCGATGAAGGCCGTCTCGTTGTACCCCAGGTCCGTCAGCGCCGTCGCGTTGAACGCAGCCATCATCTCGTGGTCCTCGTGGATCAGGTTGTGGCAGTGGAACATGTACACGCCGTCCCAGGGGGCGTAGCGCGCCTCGACCCGCACCGTCTCGCCCTTGTTCAGCCAGACGACGTCCTTGAGGCCCTGGGCCTCGTAGTTCTGTACGCCGCGGTTCTCCCCGCCCGTCCGTGAAACCACCTTGAAGTCGACCAGGTGTACGTGGACGGGGTGGGTCCATCCGCCGGAGCTGTTTTCGAGCTCCCAGACCTCGACGGTTCCGCGCGGCGGCTTGGCCAGCACCCGGTTGTTAATGTCGCTGAAGCCGACTCCGTTGATGCGCCACTCGCCGTTCTGGCGTTCAAACTTGAAGTGGTGCGCCGGGGTGCCGTCCTTGACCGGGAGATCCTCGATGGTGCGGAGCGTGCTGGGCACCGTGGATGGGTCGTTCACGGCCGTGTTCGACACGACGAAGCGCATGACCTTGTCCGTGTTGAGGTACGGCGTGTCGGCGCCGACCTTTTCGTCCGACCGCAGCGTGATGTTCTGGCCCTTGTAGTTGGTGAAGTCGAAGACGACCTCGTAGCGCTCCGCCATGCTGATGGCGAGCTTGCTGGTCGTGGCCGGCGAGGACAGCAGGCCCGCGTCCGAGCCGATGACCTGGAAGGGGATCTTGGTGCCGGCGGCCGCCTGGCGCTCAAAGTACAGCTGGAACGACCGGGAGATGGAGGCGTCGCAGAACCGGAAACGGTACTTGCGTGGCTCCACCTTGAGGTACGGCCACGGCTGCCCGTTGACATGAATCACGTCGCCGTACAGGCTGGTCGTCTCGCTTGCCGGCGAGTACAGCGTGCCGTCCTTGTTGTACTGCTTGGCCGACAGGATCAGCGGGATGTCGTACTTGCCGTACCCAGAGGGCAGGCCCAGGCTGTCCTCTGCCGAATCGTGAATCAGGTATGCTCCGGCTTGCCCGTAGTATGCATTCACGGCCGTGATGTCCATGGCATGGTCATGATACCTGTCAACGTCGCGAATCAGTAATTGTTCTCATGAGGCCCCTTTTCTAGGGGTCCTTTGCCTCTTCGGGCCGATTTGGAAGACGTATTGCTTCTGAGACACAGATGTTCTGACTCACCATAGTGTTCTTGCGGACTGCGAATTTGGGTAGTAGTAGTCCTTGTACTGTTTGGGTTGGGTCGTGTCTTCAGCCCAGCCATCCCAAGGTGCGCGCTGGTGAGGAAGGACAGTTAGCCGTCATGTGCTTTGTGCTGACCCTCAACTATGGTCTTAGGACTGTGAAGCTCTCAATAACTTACAGAAGGACTGCCGTGCAAGTGTACTGCGTTGGGCAAAGTCGAGTTGTTGATGAACCGAACCACCGTCTCCCGGCCCTTTTCAACGAGGAACGTAGGCCCGGGGGACATGCCGTCATAGCCAACGAGGTTGGCTTTGCCCTTGGTGGGGTACACCTGCTGCTGGAAGGGGAGAATGTTGATCTCATAGTAGTCAATGGGGTTCTTGGTGACAGGGTTTGTGATGGTCCTGGGACAGCGTGAGTTTTTGTCAGGCGCGGGTGGCTATAGTCCGGCCTGAAGGCCTTGGAGCGAGCAGGTGTGGCTACTAGATATTCCGCAAACTTACATCTTGGGTTGCTTGACAGGGGCAATGGGGAGTGGGTATTGGTACAGCCATGTGTATGGCTCGCCTTCCCAATCCTTCGCCAGTGCCGTTGGCGTGAGGGCAAGGAAGGCGGCCAAGCGGCCGAGCGTAGACATGGACAGCATCATGAACAAGGTCCAGAAGAGGAAGGACTGAACAAGAAGTTGCTGGGTTGGTAGGCACGCCTGGCGCCGGAACGAACTTGAGAGTTGGCAATGCTGATCATTTCCCTTTCTCCCTCGCGCCGGGACAACATGCTTCTTTATAGCATCTCATCGTATGATAATGAAAGTTCTCAGAACGCTAGCCAGTGAGTCCTAGAGATCCCGTTGACGGTCCAGAACAACGGGCATGCCTGCATCTGGACGCCTCTCGACCATTGCGGGAGTGACTCCTTCGCTCAGCTCGAGGCAGCTGGAGAACGCCTCGTACCCGCAGTCATCATGAAGAACCCCTGCTTCGGGAACGGCGTAGAAGCAAGTTCCAATAGTTGCAATGCCACGTCTTGGCAGTTGACCGGATCCGAGAGAACATGAGGCGACCCCGAGGTGCCCGGCCGGACGCTGAGCATGACTTGGGGGGGCCCAACCAGAGAAAGAAAGCCTTTCTCCGCATCTGGACCAAGTAGGCGAGGTCGACGTGTGTACGGTCACCTGGTTGACTCGACTGAGGCTTGCTGTCCCGCTGGGCTGGAGAGACGGTGCGGGACTACAGCCTGCCAAGGCGTATACCGCGGTAGAGCGTGAGATAGGTGGAGATTTGCTTTATCTTACCCAACTACTACTATTAATTCGCTAGCTAGTAATTGGTATTAACGGTATTGGTCGACTGAGGCTCTCGAGCCTTGCTTCCGAACAGAGCCTAGGCTGCAGGCTGTCGGCCGGGCAGTGGGACACCGGTCATTGATCATTGGGGTTCCCATGGGGGCCCAGCAGAAGGGTCTCGGAACGTCGACTGGGATAGTATGCTTAAAAATAAGTTCCAGCGCATGCAGCTAAGCCCGCGGGGGAAATGGGGCGTTCTTCAATGACTTGAGGCGGTGACGTCTGATTGGCCACCGCCCGAATTCAGCTGAGACCCTTGAGGTTCAGCGGCAGACCGCCCGTGGCGCTCCTGGGCGCTTTTCGCTGGCCGTCTTGGCCCGGCGGCCCAAGGGTCTGGGTCGCCCACGTCAGACCAGTCGCGGAAGGCTGGGAGGTCAGAAGGATTCGGGAACGTTTGTTGTCGCAAGAAAAAAAAAAAAAAAAGCTTTGTGGATTGAGACAGCAGGTCAACGGGCATGCCATCGTGTCCTCGTGGCGACCCAAGCGCTCGGAAATCCTGGGTGGCTTGGCATTTGGGTAGCTTGCGAAGCTTCAAAAGGCTGCGAATCGAACACGAAAACACTGGTCACGTCAGAGCCGAACTCTCTCACCTTGATTCTGCTGCCTGAGGACGATGCTGCCGCCGCTGTCGCTGCTGTGCCATGCCCGGCCACGTTGTCCCTGCATGTCAAGTCTTTGCAATACCGAGAGGTGCATACCAGATGCCTGTTGTCACTCGTCATTTGTCATTTTGCAATTGCCAGGGCTGGAGTGGTTGGAGGACGGACTCAGTTACGACCCAGATCTTGGGCCGCACGGGGGTCAACGTATGCAGGCCGATACAGCAACAGATGGATGCAACACTGGGGTCCTACCTGGCCTCGTGGACCGTAACACGGGGTGTGGGGTGACATCCCGCGATCCTACATTGAACAGCAGGGCTGCGTCTAGGGCATCAATTCTCGACCATGGATGAATCGAGTCCGACGGATCTCCAATAACCATTGTTTAGAGTTTCCTGGAGCCGAATGTTTACCAGAAACCTTCGGGCAGACCTAAGGTACGAGGCCGACGGTTGCTGATTGCTGGTTGCTGACCCACCCCCGGCTGGCCAGACTGCAGTAGATCTATACTAACTCCATATAGCTGGCGGCACGTGCAAGTTCAGCTTCGAGGCCCAAGTGAGTTCGGCAGATCGTCTTGGAAGGCCCGCCGCTCAGCCGCCTTGCAGTAGGGGTTCGATCGGTCCTCGACCCGGGCAAGTCCAGACCCTGCACATCGCTTGTGTAGAGATCCGACTGGCCGGATCCCAACACCAGCACCAAGATCCTGGTTGCATCCTCCGAAAATCCCCTCCACAGCCGCACTTCTGCTCTCAAACGCCAACATCGAACTGAACCTTTGGTGGTGTTAACGGATCGGGCTGTGGCGCAGCTGCCCGCAGGCCGCAGGCCGCAGTCGTAAAGAGCGCCTTTGATGCTTCTCGTGTTCAACCCATAAACTGGGGGGCCTGTCTCGTGTGGCGGCTTCTCATACGAGGATGAGGTCAGCTCGCTTCTTGGTCCTTTCTAATTCGGCCGATATTCTGACTTGCTGCATGAGCTGTATTCTCTAGTAGCAACACCCTGCCTTTCGGCCGCCTATCTTCAGGTGGAGTCATGTATACTGGGTAGAGGTTCCACTCCAGTGCATCTCGACACCAGCTCCTGCGATACCTGCCTAGACCCAACCACTTCGGTCCCGTTCTGTGACAGTCGCCTTCAGTCGATCGATATCGAGGCCAGGGAGTCGCCGCCCTCCAGGCCGCCGCTTGGCCCGGCCATTCTTCATACTCTATGTTAACAATATCTTCCCCTTGGGTGGCTCCAAAGTATGCTGAGCCTTACTGTCCCCACAGGCCACGCGTGATTGCCTGCGTTCCGTCTGGCATTGCAGACGCTCGTAGCTGGTTCGGAACCATCACAAACCAAGAGCCATGTGACAGTTCAGGATCGTGCCCTGCTCTCGAAATTAGTACCAGGCTGCCGTGCAAGAAAAAGCCATAGTTACTCCGTTAACAAGATGTCGGTATAAAATTCCGCCCTCAGAACCCAGCAAGTGTGATCCCTAGTACGCTCTCCACAGCATCCGCCCATGAGACCCTCACCGAGATATCAGGTCAATAGGTGCCACTTGATGATATCCTGGACCGGAGTCTCGCATCTGCGCTTATGTGGCACAGATGGTTCCAAGTCAGCGCAGTCTGAGCTGACCCCAGGACTATCCCATTGATTGTCTGGACCGCAGGCTGAAGCTCCAGATACGAATGCACGGTGGGTTTTCTGTTGAGGAGACCGTTTGGTAGTGATATTGCGGCTGGGAGGACCGCGGGAGCCTTTTGCTAGGACCACCCTTTCTGTACTCTACATGCTCGTCCGGCACACTGGTCTACGTAGCTGTTCAAAGGTTTGCCCAAACCTGCCTAAGTTCATGCGTGATTACTCTTCCTTGATGGTCATGCAGCATTGTATCCATGCTGGCCGCCCGCCTCTGGGGTGTTGAGAATTCTGCAAGCGATCCTAAAGCAGGCCTAATCTGGCAAGCCCGGTTTCTCAGCTGGACCGAAGGCCACTGGAGCGAATGCGAGATAAGTTAGGCACACGCCACCAGAATGCGCCCATGACGGTGGATTAATGAATGTAATCACAGACTGAGATAAGGCCGCTTTGCTCCTAGCCTGACCTCGGGGTATGAGTGTGGTGGTTCTGAAGCAACTCAGGTTGATGGGTGTTTACCGTGCATGGCTCTTCCGTGCGGACTCAGTATGTCGAGATAGAGGGGCAACCTCGGGACTGGGCACCAGTCGGTATTTCGTACAAATGTAGTATTGCTTACGGGTTGGAAACGGTCCGTGCTGCGCTGAGTTGGTCCAAGTCCAGGCACGGCTTGTCTTTTTCTCAACGAATCGCGGGTGAGACATCGCGTTGATGAACGCTCCGACGGTCCATTTCGGAGCCGAGTGCGGTTTCGGCCCGGGGTACTGTTTGCACCCCATTTTCCCCCAGTCTAGATTCGATCTGCACCAGGTTCTCGAGGCAAGCCTGTCGATCGGAACCCGGCCAACTGCAAACAACTTACATATGTATGTACGTACGTACTATGGTAGTGCACGACGTGACTTGAGTGGAGACACATCCGGGTCACTCCAAAGCCGACCCCGCGCATCCCGGACGTGCGGGCGGGCGGAGTCGAGGACCGGCTTCAGGGGTATCCACGCGAGTAGACACCGCCGGTCTCAACTCTGAAGACTGGCGGGAGGTCAGTTGATCGTCGCTTGACCTTGGGACCGAATCGCCGACTCCGGCAAGTCCGGCTATGCGTCGTCGCATCCGACATCTAGGTTAGCACCCAACGTTCAACTCCAAGGTCCCAACTCAATTGGTCAGGAACTGAGGCGCTTGTCGCCCGAGACTCTGGATGCATCAGTAATCGCCATAGTTCTGGTGCAACTCAATGTACGTGTGAGTGCCACGGCCGATCTAGAAACGGCTTCGTGGCACAGAGAAGCCCTCTGTATATAAATGGCGAGGTGATGCTATGATAGCATTTCAGATCAGTCGGAATAGAACCGAAGAATTCCCATGTAACTCCATCCAAATCAAACATGTCCCACGATGATGCACGAGTTGGAAGAGGTATGGAGTGCCCCTTTAGGCCGGGTAGCACCTCTATACCTTCTTCAGCACCTAAACATAATGACCAAAACATCAAGGAGGAGGATCTTGTTCCAATTCCTCAACCCCCAGTCCACTGGTTCACGAGGAACATGCCAGAGATCGAGCCTGCATTCCCTGCACGCTCGAATTGGCGACTGGCTGCAATGTATGGCGACATTGTCAAACTTGATCTTGTCAAAGAAACAGTCGTTATCGTTTCATCCCATGAGCTCGCCAACGAGGTCTATGACGAAACCCGATTCGAGAAGCACGTTGCGGGGGGTCTCAAAGTCCTGAGAGATGTGCTTGGCGCTGGGCTCTTTACAGCTTATCCGGGCGAGCATGTAGGTCATCATGATAAAGTAGACGACTAGAAGTCTGCTAACATACGACATAGAGCTGGGAAACGGCGCATCGCATCCTAATGCCAGCATTTGGGCCAATCGCCATCAAGAAAATGTTTCCCCAAATGCAGGACATAATCTCACAGCTGGTGTTGAGATGGGACAGGCTAGGCACAGACAACGAGATCGTATGCGCAGATGACTTCACGATATGCCTCCCACTCTTACTTTGCGTGCGCCCCGGCTGACGTTGCAGCACAGATTGGCCTTCGACACTATTGCTCTTTGCGGCTTCTCTTACCGCTTCAACAGCTTCTATCGGGACAACACCCATCCCTTCGCCCAGCAGATGGCGGAGACCCTGATTGAGGCTGGAAAGAGGGCAAATCGTACAGCCATTGAGAACAGTATGCGTATTTTCTCAGCCGAAGAAACAAAGAAAAATGTACAGGCAATGTGGAAGCTCTGCGACGAGCTTGTTGCTGATCGCAGGCGCAACCCTAAGCCGGAAGTGAACGACATTCTAAATGCCATGCTGAACAGAGAGGACCCAGAAACGGGCGAGAAAATGTCTGATGAGAGTATTCGCTTCAACATGCTGACTTTCTTGGTGAGTTTCGTTCCATAACCTGCGAACCACAGATGGTACCTTGTATTGATCGTCTTACGCTCCTGGATTAACACCACAAACAGATTGCTGGACACGAAACCACAAGTGGGGCTCTTTCCTTCCTGTTTTACAACTTCTTGAGAAATCCCAAAACATTTCAGAAGGCACAGGAGGAAGTCGACCGTGTTGTTGGAGACAACATTCTTGACGCTCGACACATCCCGCAGCTGAAATACGTGGAGGCCTGCATTCGTGAGACCCTCCGAGTTTTGGGACCCATCACTCAAAATCAGGTCCACGCCAAGGAAGACACCATAGTCGGTGGCAAGTATAAGGTGACGAAGGATATGACTATCCGTGTCAATCTTCGAGGCATACATCACGATGCACGGGTATGGGGGCCTGACGCCGAGGAGTTCCGCCCAGAGCGGATGCTAGAGGGCGGTTTCGAGAAGGCGCCACGAAATGCGTGGAAGCCGTTCGGAAATGGCGAACGGGCTTGCATTGGGCGCTCCCTGGCAGAGCAAGAGATGGTCATGACCACCACAATGATCCTTCAAAGATTCCAAGTCCACATGGTCGATCCCAGCTATGATCTCCGTAAGTTATCTTTACTGCCACGATTTTACTGTCATACTGACCCAATTTCATAGATCTCAAGAGTACCTTGACAGTCAAGCCAGCTGACTTCAAGATCAAGGTCTCACGAAGACCGAACAAGGATGCCCTCGTGGGTATTCCCGGGTCTGTTCCGGCATCCGCCAAGGAGGGTATTCAGAAGAAACAGCCTGGATACAGATTTGGCGTCTCTGCCAGCAAGAATCCGCTTTTAATACTCTATGGCTCGAATGCCGGTACTTGCAAGTACATGGCCGAGGATCTTCAGACCATGGCCAAGGAGCGAGGCTTGAATCCCACGGTGGAAACTATGGACGAAGCTACGGAGCACTTGCCAACAGACCAACCTGTCGCCATAATTTCCCCCTCATACGAAGGAAAGCCAGCTGACAATGCAAGAAAATTCGTGGCATGGGTTGAGTCGCTCAAGTCTGGAGCTTTGAACAACGTGAAGTTCTCCGTTTTTGGCGTTGGCAACAGTGACTGGGCCACTACCTTCCACAAAATACCTAAATTACTAGATCAAAGCATGCCGAAACTTGGAGCCAAGGCTTTTATGCCGGCGGGGTTTGCGGATGTAAAGGAAGACCTTGTAGGACCATGGGAAGATTGGCGAGACGATCTTCTTTCATCGATTGGCGATGAGAAACATCCAGCTCAAGCCCCCGAGCTGGGCGTCAAGATTGAGAAACCCTCGATGGCAAACAAGCTTGCTGGCGCAGAGGTCTCCGAGGCCATGGTGAAATCAAATGTAGAGATCGCTTCTGCCGAAATGGGATCTGCAAAGCGACATATGGAGGTCGAGTTGCCGCAGGGGATGTCCTATGAGCCTGGAGGTATGTTGAGAACATATGCCGATGAAGAAAGTCCACAGTGCTAACTCATACAAAGACTATATCGTTGTTCTGCCCACAAACCCGCCAAACACGGTCAAGCGTGCTGTTCGTCGTTTCAACCTGAACTTGGACGACGTAATTACTGTTTCGGGAACAAGCAAGGAGTTCTTGGTAGGATACCCCAACTGACACCCGGTGGCCCAATGCACTGACGATACCGCAGACGGGGAGTGGGCCGGCCACTGTTCTGGACATACTTGCCTCACGTGTAGAGTTGGGCACCCCGGCTTCCAAGAGGCAAACCCAAATGATTGCCCAGTCCGCCAGCGATGGGGATAAGGACCGGCTCATGGCATTTGCATCTTCAGACAGTAATTTCAACGCCGAAGTCATCTCGAAGCGCAAGTCGGTTCTTGACCTGCTCGAGGACTTTCCAAGCTCAAAGCTTTCGCTCGCGCAGTACCTTGACATGCTCAAGCCATTGGCCCCTCGACAGTATTCCATTTCCTCATCCCCTCTCGCCTCTGAATTCAAACAGACAGTCGGCAATACTGAAGGCCAACTCAGCCCAGTCGTGGCCTCTATCACCTACGATGTGCACGAAGCGCCGTCGCGAAGCGGCAACAACCGCACTTTCTACGGCGTAGCGTCCACCTACCTCGCCTCACGTGGATCGGGGTCCAAGATCCGCTGCTTCGTGCGCCGCTCCAACACAGGTTTTCACCTACCTTCGGACCCCAGCACGCCGATCATCATGATCGCAGCTGGAACGGGACTGGCCCCGTTCCGCGGTTTTGTCCAGGAACGTGCTTGCGTCATCGAACACAACCACGCTGAGAAGAAGCTCGCCCCAGCGTTGCTGTACTTTGGATGTCGTGATGCCGATAAGGATTTCCTATACCGAAAAGAGCTGGAGGAGTGGGAAAAGCTCGGTGCTGTGAGCCTACGCCCGGTCTTCTCAAGACATGGACCCCAGGGTTGCCACAAATACGTGTACGAGCGCATGTGGGACGAGCGGGAAGAGGCGCGCCGATTATTCTTAGAGGGCGGTAAGATCTATGTCTGTGGTTCTGCGCTCAAATTGGCCAAGAGCGCTGCGGATGTGAGCATGCGGATTTGGTTAGAGAAACATCCAGGGAAGACAGAGAAGGATGCCAGAGATTGGCTGGATGGAATTCGGGAGGTGAGATATGTCAGTGATGTGTTTGATTAAGTTGTCCCGCGCTTTTCGGTTTTTGTGCCGAGTTTCGATCGCTGCATAGGTAATTTGAGAACACATTCTTTGCCCCCTTAAACCTTGAGAAAGTTTGTGTAAGGTGTATGGACAAATGCAGGGTAGGGGACGTCCTCAACATCAGGTTAACACGAGTGCTTCATTTTCCCCAGTCTATCTTCACATTGGCTCCGAATAAGCGTGTCTAAAGACTCTTAAAACTCGGCCAGATATGTAGATTGTGACCCGTATAGCATATGACTTGAAACGGAGATGGTCGCTCAGTCAGACATTAAAGACCCTCTCCAAACCATCAACCGAGACGTGCATATGAGCTACTGTCATAGGACGTGTGGCTATAAATAACGAGCCAATCAGATGGTATAGTTTCCGAGCGGACTACTCAGCAGTGATCGTGGGTCCGCTTCCCCATCCTTCTGCTCAACCAATCTAAATGCTCCAAATCCGAGGCAAGCAACGACGTTTGATCTGCCCGTTATGGACCATCCCATCCTCCTTCATTCCCTTTTGTTCTGCAACGCCTGCCCGTGGTGAATTAATTGAGCCGACCATGCGTCAAAGCTCAGGGTCCGACACGAAGCCTAAAGCCGCCTATCGCAAATCCAAGGTGAAGTCTGGCTGTCGTACATGCAAGTAGGTTCGTTCATATGTCCATCACAATGGCAAAGGTCTCACGTGATACAGGACACGCAAGGTCAAGTGCGATGAGGGAAGACCTGCCTGCAAACGATGCGTGACTACGGGCCGAGTCTGCGACGGCTATGGCATCTGGGGTGGAGGAGGCAATCATTATGCTGATCGATCTGATAAAAGGCAATCATCTCTAGTTCTACAACCAAAGACACCTGCTCCCCTAGGACCTGGAACGGTGGATCAGGAGCATCGCTTCGAGTGGTTCTTGTGTCGCACTACCCTCAAGCTCCCCGGCGGTTTCGTCTCTGGGTTTTGGAAAGTACTTGTACTTCAGGCCAGCTTGGCCGAGCCAGCTGTACTGCATGCAGCTCTCGCATTGAGTGCGGCACATCAGAACGAGCCTTATAAAGGCATTCGAGACCGAGGCGATGCATCTGTGATCCTAGATCCGGAAGAGCGCTTCGTGTTAACCCACTACACGAAGGCAATCAGCCATCTCCAACCACATCTCGCCGTCACTGAGAAATCATCCTTGCGAGTGGCATTGATAACGTGTCTACTGTTTACGTGCACCGAGTTTCTCCGTGGCCACTATGTGTCGGGTATCTCCCATCTACATAACGGGATCAAGGTGCTTGAAACATTCAAGTTTGCACCGAAGTCCACGGGTACCACGCCGCCGCCCTCATGGAATTTTAGTGATTATTGGATTGTGGAGACCTTCGCAAGGCTCTATATTGGATCTTGTCTTTTCGGTCAGAGCTTTCCCGGACATTGCCCCGTCATTCCCGACTGGACTGTCGGCTTCCCTGATGTAATGTTCCACAACATCGGACAAGCTAGACACAGTTTGGACTGGTTGCTAGAAGAAACACTTGTTCTTGAACAGCAAGCTCGCAACACTCGAACAGCCTTTAGTGATGAGGATCTTCACCTTGTCGACTTTACTGAGAGAAAAGAGCACGTGAAATCAAATTTCGAGTCCTGGAAAAGAACGTACGAGATTGCAAGCGCAAATTTTGATACTCAAGACACCTTTTTGGACCCCCTTGCACACAAATTGCTCCAGGCATACTACCCCATGGTTGAAATCATGGCCGCAAGGTGTACAGAATCCTGCGAATTAAACTATGATGCTCACGTCGGGGATTTCCTCGCCATTCTGGCTCGAGCGTTGGCCAACTTCAAGATAGGCAGGTCCCACGCACTAGCAAAGGCATTAAACGAGCAAGGAATGTCCCTCTCTCGTTCCATATCTGACATGGGATCCATACCGTCTCTTTATTACGTTGCATTGAAATGCCGAGTCCGTCGGATCAGGCACCACGCCCTCAAACTCTTGGCATTATGTTCCCATAAAGAAGGGATATGGGATGCAAAAATTGTCACCAAAGTTGCCAGGGAGGTAGTTAGGATTGAAGAGGATGGCTTCTACCAGAACCACATGTTATCGGATGACTTTGACGACTATTCTCTCCCTACCGAGGAAGAGATAGTACTGCCAACACTACCGGAGTCGCAGAGAGTCAATCACGTGCAAGTGACGTTCCCAGATGATACGTCGGGGAGTCTCGTACTGGAATGCCTGCGGAAGCGCGATGACGGAGGCTGGTATGTCTTGACGAGGATATTCGACCCAATTGCCCAGATGTGGAAAAGCCCACGAGACGTCAAGGGCTTTAATCCATTGAGCCAAGTCTGAGAGTGTAACTAACTTCGTTCTCCATATGCCGCTCCATTTATCATCACAATCAATATGACCTCAAACTATCAACTGCATTGAAAAGCTTTGCCGGGAGCGTAAAGAAACATATTGCTCAGTCAATCACAGTGAGAACCATTCTAAATTTACTGGGTCTTGTCATGGCTCCATGAACTCTGACAAGTAGACGATCTGAACAAGTTCAGACAGTGGAAACGACAGAAGCTTCTAGGCCCGAATGCCTTGTTGAGGTCATCGCGGTTCTAGTCCCACTGGGGGGGTATTCGTGAAATCGATACATTTGAAAGAAAGATTACACCAATGGAACTCGATAGACGCCTACACGGTGAAGGCCAGCTGTAGACACCATATATGCTCTTCATGGTTTGACAGAGTTCGAGGAACTCGTCTATTCAACTATATATACAACTTTGTCGTACTGCGTGCAGCCGTAGTGCTGTAGCATTTGCGTGGCCATCTTTTTAAGAGACAACATTGAGGAGGGCATTGCGTAGCATCCCAAAGAAGCTCTCAAACAAACCGTAGTCTGTTCCTTGAAGCCATCGGACAACAACTCTGACCTCGTCTTCCTCACCCGACTGATCCTGCTTCGCGTTGATTGAAATAGAGAACCCGAAAGGGCAGTCGAGTACTGTTTTATCCGCCTTCCCTTTCGCTGGCCGCGGCCGAGCTAGGATTCCCTTATCTTTGCTCCTTCGATAGGATCTGCTCCAGACGTTCTGATTGGCAAAGCCTACGACTCTCAATCTGTCTTCGTCCATGTTCCAGGAGACCAGATCCAGACCGTCAGTCACATCTTCCAACTGGGTCCAGAAGATGTTCTCAAGCTGTTCTGCGCCCCCGCTCTTTGCACACCTCGCGGCAGCCGTGAACTCTGTCCAGGGCGGCAGGAGCTTCTTGCCAGCGGATGGCTCAAAGCGTCGGCATGATTGACTACCTGGCCTCCTATTTACGAAACTCCAGCCTACAGCCCACCTCCGAGTTTTCTTGCCCTGGACAAATTCTGTCAAGGCATAATTACCGATGTCGTGGTCCTTTAGAAGTTGGACGATCTCGTCAAGACTCGACTGTTTTCCTAGCATAGTAGTGTACCATTGAACGCGTTCCCGAAGGATGAGAGACTCGTCAAACATGCGTTTGAAAAAGCCAACCTCGCCGCCATCGCACACCATCTCACTTGACGCGCCGGTGCATGCACTATTAGGAGGTTTGGACTTCTGCTTGGCCAGCTCTACAAGCTCGGATTCGGAAGTGTAGAATGGCGGATTTGTCATGACGAAATCAATCTGGTCCAAATCCAACTCATCGAGAGATATGAGTTTGTCTTTGGCAGAACGCTTAACAATCCGGATCCTGGAGCCCAGGTTGTTGAGCTCGACGTTCCTTTGCGCAAATTCCAGGGACTTCTCATCGATATCGGTGCCAATGAAGGACCACGAAGGACGTTGTGTGCAGCCCAGGAGCGGGTAAATTGCACTCGCACCGGTTCCAATGTCTAGGCCAGTGACTTTGCGACCCGGCTGGTAGGCATCGGAAAAGGATTGCGAAGTGGTGTCCAAAAGACTCTTGATCCACAGAATATAATTGTGTCTGTTAGGAACCTAAGGCTGTAAGACGCTGCCCGTAAGTCTTGGCAAGGGTCGCAGAACTCACAGGAGGGCAAAGGCGATCATCGGGTAAGTCGATCTCCAGTCCAAAATCAAGCCTCAAAAGCGTTCTAGTCAACTGCATCACTGAGGATGGATCGGTGAAGTCGAGATGTTGGCCATCTTTGAGACTACGAGGACTGTTGTATCAGTTATCGGCCGCCAGCTTAGCCAGGGGTGAATCGCACAACCTACCAAGCACAGAAGTCCCGGTCCTTCTCGCCCAAGGCTTGGAAGTCAATCTCACCCGTGTATAGACGGCAAAAGCGGGCATCTTGGCGTTCGTGTTCCAAAGTCTGCTGAGTGTCTTTGCGAGTTTTGCTCACTTCAGTGAAAGAGACTTCAGATTCATCATCGCGCTCGTCGGGTAGTTTCACGGCTTTGCGTGCAGCCGCTAAGCGTTGGGAGAAGGTCAACTTCCCTCCATCGCCGGGGTGTTTTCTTTTCACACCCCGGACTCCGGGGTCACCCTCCGCCGGATCCATATCACGAGCTCGACTTTGAAAAGCACCAGACTAAGCTTGATGCGACTCTGGGCGTCTTGGGTTCTTGTGTTCGTGAGCGCCGAAGCTGGGCGCTGGCTGGTGTTGCCGAGCACGATATTCTCGGTGACCACCGGCCGAGGCACCACCGTACAGTACGGTACAGTAGGAGGGCGGCTGTGGTCTGTGCTTAGCATCCACCCCAATGCACCCTCGTGGCCCGAGAACTCCACTGGATATCCGATCGAAGTGACGGCGCTCTTTGCCAACTGCGTTACATGATTATAAAAAGGAGCTAATCTACATACATACGGCGGTTCACCACCGGATCCAGATGTGGAAGTTCATCAGTACTTGAGAAGTCTTCGTGCTGCTGATCCTCCAGATATTATCCTTCCCACTCGTCATAAGCCAGACCGCCCGCCTCCCACGCTGCCGCTGCCAAGAACGTATCGCTTTCACCAAACCTCTTACCAACGATTTGGAACGCGATGGGCAGTTTTCCTGCCACACCCTCTTCCCTTGGCTTTCCCCAGCCGATGGGCATTGTCATCGCCGGATGTCCTGTCACATTGAACATGCCAGTGTTCATGTTATTGCCAAGTGCAAGGTCCAGGTGTCCCATGACGCCTCCGCCGTGCCATTTCTCGTTTCGCTGCATGGCCACCGTCGGTGTTGCTGGAGTTATCAAAACGTCATATTTCGACAGGGCATCGTCGTACGCGGCTCGAAGCTCGTGAACATGCATCATGGCTTTGTTCTGGTACGCTGGCGGGAACAGATCCGGGTTGGACAAATATGCGCCAGAGAAGAACACGTTCACGACTGCTGGGTTGAACTTGTTCATGGTCTCATACCAATCTTGATCAGGGACAGGGGGGTTGAGATCGGGCAGCGTGTGTGAGAGCAGCGTCGGCGACATGTTGGTCATCGAGTCAATCATTTGGGCCCGGGTGGCCGCCGTCCAGATGGCTGGGCCGAGCTTGTGCATGGGGATCGATACCTCCTCGACTGTTCCGCCAAGCGAGGCGAAGCGTTGGCAAGCCGCTTTCGTCACAGCAGCCACTTCTGGTGATATCGTGGGTACCTCCCAACCTTCCTTGAGAACGCCTACCCTCAGCCCTTTGGCTGCTTGGGTGGCGGTCCATGTGCCCGCAGCTGATCGGTCCGCGATGGACTTGTCAAGTATCTCGTGATACTGTGGTACGCATGTTCTTAATGGAGTCTCGGGTGTCATTCGTGGGTCCATGCCATCGTAGCCGGACAGGACGCTCAACAGCAGTGCCGTGTCCCTCACACTCCCTGCCATTGGGCCGCAGTGATCTATAAGGGGGTGCAAGCTTGCGATGCCGGTGTAAGGAACTAGCCCATGTGTCGGCTTGAGGCCGTAGATACCACTGTAAGCAGCAGGCAACCGAATGCTGCCTCCTTGGTCACCACCGAGTGCAAAGTCCGCTCCGTCGCCGATGTCTACCGGTGGCAAGCCCTTCTTTGCTCTGATCTTCTTGACAACATTGACAGCAACGAGCCCGCCGCATCCTGAGCTAGAGCCGCCGCATGCATAGGCATATCTCTCGCCATGTGGACCCCTTGGCAGCCATGGATTGGCCACCGGCCCGCTGGCCGAGGTGAATGAGAGCGCAGACATGCAGTAGTTTTCGCATACTGCCGTGCCAGTGAACGTCGCCCCAGATTCGAGCACACGTTGGATCACAGGCGCATCGATCTTTGGGATGGGGTATTTTCCATCTTTGGATAGATGGGTAGGCGAGGTACCTATTGTCAGCGGTATTCCGGCCACCAGAATGTTATCCTTGGCCACCACTGTCTTTCCCTCCAAGAGGTTATTCTTGAGCGCCTTGGAGCTCTTGATGCTGGTCCTGTGACTCCAACCTCCGAGCGGGTTCCCTGGTGATCCATTTGTTGGGTTGCTGTATTCTCGAGTCGACCCAGAGACCATATCCGGGACCAAGCGGGGGTCTACGTATTCTGGCATCTTGTATACGTACTTCACACACTTATCTGCGGCCTTGAGGAGCTCATAGTAGGCTGCCTCGTCGTCAGGCTGCAATGCCATTTTTCTGGAAGCCGTGAGCTGACGGAAGGCGTCAAGGGACACCAGGTCCCTGGGCATATTAGCCTATCGGTTCTCTCACGTTTGTCTTAGTACAACTTACGGCTCATCATGATCCATCATTATGATGGACATTTTGAAGATTGTTCCTACACCCGCATGCGAAACCCTGTACTACTTGCTCGCATACGCCAGAAAACAGAGTCAAGGCAAGAGTTCATTTGTAAATATTATAAATATTGGGTGCAAGCGATACGGCAATCGGTAGGAGACCAGTGAGGAGTGTTCGCGGCCACTTCCGGGCCACGCCCGATAACCCGCTAGATTGGACAGCTTCATCCCGTCCAGGTAGGCGGACACAAATGTCATTGGTCAATTACGTAGTCCAAAGAATCAGTAAAGTTATGATAAGTGCCTCTTATCAAGTGACTGGCGGACGACGTAGTGCCCCGCGGCGAAAGAGAGGAGAGATGATCTCCCAGCGACGCGGTGGGGTATGGAGGCTCCGTTGTCAAGAATCGGAGGGTTTCCGATGGTGATTTTGCTGTGGATGACCTCTGGACGTCGTATCTTGCAATGAGAGAGGGTGTAGCGTGCGTGCGTGATGGAAATTGCACATTTTCATCTACTACCTGTATTCATGCTGGGATTTCTTTACCGAGGGCTTCAATGTATATAGTGTCTACATTAGGATCATCGGTTATGTGACAAGGCGGCGAACGGAGCGCGCCTTCATATGGACTCGGGATTGACGAATGGGGACCACGCCGAACAGCTACGCCGAAAGAAAGCCTACGTAAAACAGGCATAACTTTGTCGCATCCTGCCCTAAAATGAAAGACATTGGACCGGAACTTTGTAAGGTGCTTCCATACACAGTTACAAGCCAATGATGGGCTGAGGATGGGCTGAGGGCACCACTATACATTTAGGAACCATCCTATATTGGACTGTCAGAAAACAAAAATTCTCGAGGACTTTTGCCCGCCCCAAAGCCACGCTAATCCGAGGTAGATATACCATAGATGCCTAGAGAGCTGGGGTTATAAACTGGAAAGCGTCACATTCCGTGTTGATTCTCTCAGAAGCCAGATAGCTTTTCAGAGAATCTGAGAATCTGGCCCAGTTCACCACACATTGTAGCCTCACTTCTCGAAGCTAGCTTAATATTGTCCAGTATCATCCTACGTGGCATTGCTTGAAGGCAGCTCTGCGAGGTTTATTTTGGTTCGTTATTGGTAGCAAATTCCGTCAAGACTCATTAACCCTTTGCCCCCCTCCAGTGAATAGTTACCCAATCAAGTTTAGTAGCTGAAGCATGGCTGACTGAGAGGGAGGCCAGGTATAGTATCACAGCGAAGCTGCAGCTGCGAGCCCGTGAATGGAGTCGGCACACCCTCTGACGGAGGTTACCGAACATGCGTTCGCAGCGAACAGAGGGTGGCATAACCGACTCGCTGTGTTTCGAGTGCCTCCCGATGCGCATGTATCGTTCGAGTCGGATTGGTGGCTACCACGCTATATGCCGTGCCCCAGGTCCATCCACACGGCACAGGGCATCCGGATGAAATGCCTGGGTGTGATGCTGTTCCGGCCTAGGACAAGCGTTTCGGCTGTTTGATGACCTGCACCACGAAAGTGGGGAACCGCCCATCTGCTGAAAGGCCGTTTCTTCCTGCTCGGCGTCATTTACGCACCCGTGTGCTTGCTTGGATCGCTTATTAGCACAGGTGTCGAGTCGATATACGACTCGGATTGATGGATGTAGTCATAGACCGGCAATTGATCTACCACCGCGAACACTATTTCTTCTTGAATAATCGTCTGTCGCTGGCCTTGGGATCAATGACCGGTGAGTACGAGGAAAAGCAAACAAGCGATTAGCGTAACGTAGGCTCCGGCGGAAGACACGGAGGGTTGGTCTAGACTGGACAACCTAGATCCCGCGGGCGCCAACACATTCTAGACTTGTGTGTCTCTGCAGGGCGGCACTGGAAACATTTGACCCATCTATCAACTCACGTGCGCAGCCGTACTATGTTCTATGTAATTCAACCCCGGAGCCCCTGTAGACCGTGTTCAACGTTATGAGCATAGCTCGTGCCGATGATTTAGATCCCGGTCTAGACGACGTAACTTTGTGGGAAGCCGACGGCTCCGCGAAACTTGCAATTTGCTTAATACATGGGCTGCTTGCAGGTTATGAGATACCTAGCCATATGGACTCTCAGAGTATTATGTATTTCTGTCCAACCTCGGAGAACGCTATTGGAAATTTTGGACACTACTGGACTTGGCCCGAGGCAATGAGTTCATGGGCAGGCCCAAGGGAGGGGGGGGAAGGGCCGGCCTGTGATCCGTAAGGTTGCGTGGTGGCTGGCGACTGGCATCGCGTCTCTCCGGACTCTCAGCCCAGCACGCACGCATGCACGCATCCACTCTCGGGGACGGCGTGTCTTGGAGGGACCCCTGTCTGGCAAACTCGGGAGGAAAACCTGAGGGTCCTCGACGCCGAGCGAACTGCAAAGAACGCTGGCCGCCCGGAAAAGGTGCTTTCGGTCATCGGTTCTCGAACTTCAAGACGGGGACTCTGGTTTCTAATGTTTTCTAAGACTGCGAAAGGGGCAGCATAGGCAAGAAGGAGGCCCGAGGAAGCTGTCCAATTTAGTCCCGGCCGCGGAAGTTGGATGCCCTGGATAAAGAGGGTCAAGACCGGCCCATGCCGGAGACAAGCTAGCGAAGGGCAGAAGGGCTTCCTGACGTCTGGCATATGTGGAGGTGGAGAACAATGACAATGGCGGGCAAAGTTGCACCAGTCATTCAACCTACCACCTGGCAACGAGTTACGTGCCCAAACAGTTCCCGGCCAAATCTCGCAGCTACTGCTGCAGTAGGCACGGCGTAGGCCGTGTGCCCTGCCGTCCTTGATCGGCACGAGGAGATGGCAGCCCGCAACGGAAGTTCGCCATGCTCATGGCCTAGGAGCCAGCCGTGTCGCAGTCGCCCCTTTGGGTTGGTCCTGGGCAGGTGTCTGGACTGAGCTGCGATGACGTGGCCGCACGCCGTTATGGCGCTTCGGGGTTGCGCGGATATGACAAAGTACCTACTTACATAGTCAAGTCATATGGAAGCGCCGTGGGCCGCTTGTCTGCTAGCCGTTGAGCGCTCAAAATACCCGAGACTGCCTTCGCGAGTCTTCGGCGGTCCATCTGATCCGGAGGCGACCCACACACCATTTACCATAGCAGGGACCTTGACGCACGCACGACCACATGGCATGGCTATGAGTCCTCGCGGGGGCTGCATACCTCGTAGGCTCCGGTAGCTAATACAAGACCAGAACCGATGGCTATAACCGAGACCCGTGACTTTAGTACGTGCTGCTGAACAAGATGATGGCGATGCTGGTTGCGCATATGCTTTTTGGTTGTCGGTATTGTTTTTCAATGCGAGTACCTACGAGTATGCGCTGGTGCCACTGCCGCCTTTCGGGGGCTTTTGCTCCAAAGATGCTCTTTCCGCGCCACGCTATGCCGCAATCGAGCCCGAGTCTTGTGCAGCTCAGCACATCTGTACCTGAGACGGAGAGGCGGCATCCCGTTTGTCCCCGGCGGGCAATAAAATACACACCTACCCTCCAAGTGTTGTAGAGATCTTCTCAGCCAACGGGCAGAAGTGGGCGCCGCACGAGGCCAGCCAAGCACGATGCAAACTGCCCATTAGTTACAGGATCTACGTAGATGTTGCTTCCAATAACCTGTCCTACCCGTCCCATCATATTTTCCCCTCGCGGGTCTGTTCCGGCTTGACAATACAGGCGAATCTTGTGTGCGTGCGAACGACATATCGTGTACACCTGGTAGGGAGTTGGAAGAATGCCGGGGGGTCAGGCCGTGGCACAGGCCATGCATGGCCCTCACTCGCCCTCCTCGAATGCGGTGCGGGTCCTCCGTACGGGCTGAGGAGGCGTCCTCGCAACCCGGAGGGGAATGAATGAGGCAGTGATGCAGGCATTGGGAAATGGAGGTGCGCGTTGCCTCGCTGTGTTCCTTCGGTCTCGAGACTTGTGACCCGTTTCGTCGCCAATCAGCCGTTGGTGCTGGTCTTGCAGTCGTCCGACCTCAGCTGGTGCAAATCGGAGATCGCAGCCCCCGGCGCCCAGCCCTCTTGCAGCTACTAACTTCCATACTGGACGCCGGACGGCCCCAGGATCGAGTCGGTCAGCTCCCACGACGCCCACCCCCTCCCCCTTCA